CTGCGGTAGGTGTTTGGGAAAAACACGTTCTGCAAGCCGACACGCTCCCTATCGGCCCAAGGCCCGTAGTTGATAGTGCCCCCATCCAACTTGATGTCGATGCCCCATTCTGGTGGTGGCGCACCATTTATGTCTGAGGAAGCCGCAGAAGTTGACATCTTCCCAGGGTCTTGTTGAGACACGACGCATCCGGGAATATCCCAATAGTAGGATATGGCCATGCTTGGGCTATCAACAAGGGTTGAAAATCTTCCATACTCAACAGAATGCCATTCTTCATGGTCGTCTTGAGTACTATCGTCCAGATACCGGGATAGACCAATCCAATGGGCATCGTTCCGAGGGCCTGTCTGGTTTTTAGGCGTGTTTATGCTTTTGTTGTGATTATGAAACGACTCAACTGAAGTTTGGAAGTAGGGAATGAGGTCCCGTATACTGTGCCACGCCCGTCGTTTCTGGAACTGGTAATTAAAAATAGTGTCTCTTTTGCGCTGCCTGCCTGTTTTGTCTTCATTCTTTGAACTTAATCCATCAGCAGCAGCGAGCTGGCTCTGCTTATAATCTGGGTTGGGTCGCATTTGTATAACAGGATGGTTGATCTGAAAAGAAAAGACCTGACGATAAAGATCGTACGGACCGGCATTGCAGGCTTCTATGAGACCAGTTCCACTGTCAAAGGTGGTGGTCAAGACTGATCTTGTGTTTTCATTTCCAATGACAATGGCGCCCTTATCGCACGCGATTTTGAGTGGCAGGAGTCGGAGCAGCCTCGATAGACTCTCCCCTATTTCTTGTGAAGATTCAGCCACATTTTGTGACCCTCTCCTTTCCATGTCATTTCCCTGACGGGTTTCCTTCAATTGCGGCTCCGACGAATCTCTTCCTGTTTCTTGCGGTTTGGTAGGACTCGGTGGAGCTGTCGGACCATCGCCGGCAATCGGTTGGCCAAAGCCGGCAAGGATACTGTCGTACGCCGGCGTGCGATTGTATATAAACCACTCCAGGCCGTAGAACTGAATTGTAATACGACAGGGAAGATTGTCCGCTCCTTTCAGGCATCCCTGTTCTCCTTCGCCATTGTCCCTGCCATCCTTGTCCAAGCTCTGAGTATCGGGGCGTTGAGATCCGGCCGGCGTCCTTTCATTGCTCGAACTCAGCAAGGACAGATCAGTATGTCTGACTGTGCGCTTCCAATAATGCCATGTTATGAATCCTCCGTGCACAAAGATTGTCTCGTTCACCCCGTGGTATCGGATACTTTTCCAGAAGATCCTACCTCCGAGTAGCGAGATCTGGAGCGCATGAATGTCGACATAGGCGCGGTAGTAGTGCCAGGTATAGGCGCGGATAGCGTACGACAGGAGAGTTGCGAAGAGACGATTAAAGTAGAGCAGGAAAAACAGCACCCTGTTGGTCTATTAGCAACTGGCGTCCTTTCCGGGGGAAATACGGGGAAAGATACAAGATGCAAGATACGATGAGCTCAAGGAGGAAAAACCTTGGGTATAATTAGTCAATGTCAATATCTACTAACCATCACGTTCCTTACCAGTTAAAGCTGGGATCAGGGGTTAAAGATAGGGTTGTCAAGCTCGTGCTTGTGTTGGCCATCTCTTCCTAATCTGGGTGCGCCGATGGCCGCAAACATGGCGACTCAGCAGAGCGAGCGATCTCTCCTCGAATAGACCGGACAAATGGTGGGAAGGAGGCTCCGACAGGACCTCATCGTACCAACTGGATTTGTTTAATTCGAACCTCAGCAAACCATAGTGCTCAATCCTCGCGTCGTTGAGAGGTTCTCCCTTGGCATTGAATTGATGAGGCTAGGCGGTGTCTTTGATCCCTCCTGCCTACGCAATGCGGCACGGGACTTGGTCTGGATTTCTTTGGGTTATCTAGCTAGTCAGAGAGCTTCGTCCTTTGTTGTTTTTCGGCCACGGGTCATATTTCGAGGAATATCTCGCTCTTGATCTTATTTTCTCGAAGAGCAGCTCCTTTATCTTCGAAGGATCATGTTTTGATATTTTTGTTATCTCCGCTAGGTTGCAACATGCTTTGCGGGTAGACTCAGGTAATCAACGAAACGCGCGGTCATGTACCGCGGAGTCTTCACGACAATGACTGCAGGCTCTTCTTCTTCTGGTGGTACAGGGTCGAGGCTGGCTCGAGCTGTGGTGATAGTTGCTGGCGTCTCTGCACTGGTAGCTTCGATGCTGTCACTTTTGTGAGTATCACATGTAGTATGGCTATTACCTCAAGGATCGCTGAGCTAACATCACCTGTTCTTTGCAACTAGGTCCATATGGCTTCAGACGTGCGATAAGACCCTTTCGAGCTCATCAGCTATGCGCTGACTCGTTCCACAGTAAAAATTATCGAAAGCCGTTGCTCCAACGATACGTTGTTCGCATACTCTTGATGTTAGTGTTTGCTCCTAAGCAGGAGACCATGAGCTCATTCGGCCTAGGGTTCCAATATATGCGGTTGCTTCTTGGTCAAGCATCGTTTCACGACGAGCGTCTTTTTGGCTAGATCCTATTCGCGACGTCTACGAGGTATAGCAGAAGCTCTGTTCCATTGCGCCTTGGTGTTGACGTCTGCTCTTTAGGCCTTCACGATCTACACATTCTTCCAGCTACTCATCAACTTTCTCGGTGGCGAGCGGGCTTTGATTATCATGACACATGGACGTCCTCCTGTATCTCATGCGTGGCCCCTGAATCACTTCCTTCCAAAGGTCGATATCTCGGATCCGCACACATTCCTGGCTGTCAAGCGCGGGATCCTCCAGTATACATGGCTGAAGCCTATTTTGGCCATCGCCTCAATCATAATGAAAGCGACAGATACCTATCAAGAGGGCTACCTCGGCCTGGAGTCAGGTTACCTTTGGACAGGTATCGTGTACAACGTCAGCGTCACTGTTAGTCTTTACTCTCTCGCAATGTTCTGGGTCTGCTTGCACAACGACTTGCAGCCATTTCGGCCGGTTCCCAAGTTTCTCTGCGTCAAACTCATCATCTTTGCCTCCTATTGGCAGGGCTTCTTCTTGTCCATTTTGCAGTGGTTAGGAGCCCTGTCGAATGGTGTGGCAGGATACACACCCGACAACCTCGCTGCAGCAATACAGGATAGCTTAATTTGTTTTGAGATGCCCATTTTCGCCATCACCCATTGGTACGCCTTCTCCTGGCACGACTACGCGGATCCAACCATTTCCGCCGCTCGGCTGCCGGTTGTGTATGCACTTCGAGATGCCTTTGGAGCCAAAGATCTGGTGGAAGACACGAAGATGACTCTTCGGGGTGAGAACTACGAGTACAGGCTATTTGATTCCGGCGATCATATCATCCCGCATGCCGAGTCTAAATCTCGAGTCAAACGCGTGATGGACGGAATGCGGTACGAGCGAGGCGGAAAGGCAAAGTACTGGATTCCCAAGCCAGGAGAGGTCAACAGTCGAACTCCTTTACTGGCCGATGCAGAATCGAGTAACCGGAGTCGGAGAAGCAGTGCTCTGGAACGTTTCCGTTCAAATAGCGACATTGAAGAAACCACTCTGAATCCAGACGATGAGGAATTGTTCAACAAAGCTCGCGCGTTAGAGTTTGGGGATTGGAATGTAAGTCTTGCCCACATTGACGACGAAGAACGAAGCGGAGAGCTGACTTTTTCCAGTACCCCGTAATTACAGCCAACGTCGTTCCAAGAGATCAACGTTTGCCGAGTACCACAACCTACCAGAATGTCGAGCAAGCGGCCGAGCCAGTGAAGAGAGCCCGAAAGCACAGGAAATCCCGTACGATGAGCGGGAAAAGTGAGCAGCGGGATGACCGCAATGGCTCGAGTCACTCCCGGCGAAAAGGCAGTCACGAGTCGCCTTCCCTCAAACGCGGTTCAAGCTCCTTGACATCCCAAGGTTCCCACCGCAGCCAGTTAGTTGACCTCGTAGTCGAAAATCGAGAGGCTGAGGAGGAGGAACGGGCGCAAGCCCAGAGAGCTCTTGGTTCAGCATGGGTCGAACCAGAAAACAAACACTTTCAGTAAGTTCACGATTCTTTCGAGAACTGGTTGGGGAATAGCATTAATTGTTTCACATTTAGGAGGCCTTCCGGTAAACCAGTCGACGAGGAGAACCACACAGCACCGCCTGGAGGGGGCGGGAGCACCTCTAATGAAACCACGGAAGCTGTGAAACAGCCTGAAGAATCCGAAGAAGAAGAGTCGAGAACGCCAGTTTGGTCCTATGGGAGCCTGGAAGAGGAGAACGTTTGGGGTAAATAGATGGAAGGGGTTTAACTTCAACTGATGCCAAACGCCTAATGACGAGACGACCTGCGATTAATCATTCTGGGTGTTCAAACAAATCTTCTAAGATGTATTATTTTCCATTTGGCAATTGAATATATGGGATACGATTGAGCGACAGTTAAAGCCAGCAAAATGAGACCGCCCTTTTTCTAACCACGGAGGTAATCAGGCATCATTGGCCGGAAAGCTGATGATAGGAAGGCGTGGTCAAACAGAGAAAGGCTAAATGACTTCTATTATTGTCTCCTGGCGACGTGGTAGTGATAGAAACCTATTAGTTTCTGCGGCTGAGCAATAGCGGTGCCTCTTTACGCGCCGCCCACCACTAAAGCGGGAGAATCAACCACCAGTTCTCCAGTCAGGCACCGTCGCTTCTAGCCCATCATGGGATGAACTGTCGGCGATCCAAGCCAGTCGATGTGATTGACGCTGCTGCTGCCAACAAATGAGATGCAGATCCTGCCTGAGCAATGATCAACGATCCAACACGCTACTCGAGATGGTGTCCCACAAACCGCTGTGACTGGTTCTGACGACCATGTTTTGAGCCTCGTGGGAAATTATCAGTTGATCACAGCTTGCTTAGCGCAGCAGGCGTTACTTGAATCAGGTTAGATGCAGCTGCATCATGCAGGATCGCCATTCCGTTTCATCCTGAGCTGTGTGCTTGTTGTCGCTTGCCTAAGGGGCCTATGTATATGATGGATGGACCTCCCCCAGGCAGGGGTCTTTTCTCGTTGGTTGAGTGAGTCGAGTCGTTGGCCTAGAGCTTCCAGCCTCTCTAAAGTTTTGGGGTGGTGAATATCAGCTGGCCTGTGTGTTACCGCGGTGCTTGTGGACATTCATTCTTTATCTTTCGTGTTTAACACTTATTGTTTCGCGACCCTTTCAGCTCCGTCGGTATCTGTGATGGAGCAACAGCTTTGAAGCTCGGACGGCGATGAGGCTGGCAATTGAACAAGCAGGATCCGTGTTCACTGGCTGGATTGCGTCCTGCTTGTCCTGTCTGCGCCCTGAAGGTGATATTCAGGGCTCACATCACCAGAAAGCAATGAAGTCGAACGGTATTTATTCCTCTCCTGACGGTATATGTTATCAACAGACTCTAATGTCTTGCAATTCAGGCGTCGAACGAGAGATGAGGATATGTCATAGTCAACCTCATCTCGTGCCTCCAATGAAGCTGGTGGTCTATGATGACCTTCCGAGCCCAGGTCCTCCGCCTCGGACCTCATCCTTTCCATCATGGATAACGGAGGGCAGAAGCATCGCCTCCCGAGCATCCAACAGGGCCAGCATGTCGTTCAAGCGGCAGTCCACCACCCCATTGAGGATCAGTGCACCGACAGACTTCAGAAGAGTCGAGACTTTCCAATCCTTTGCCTCCAGTCCAGCGGAGTTTCAACCGCTCGTGTTGAAGATTCACACACCGGGCAACCGCCTCTCAGATCTGCCAACCTTTGACGAATTTCTTCCACATGAGGACCGACGACGATCTCTTGCCTGGCCTGCAAAAGCAGTTGTCTCTCCTACTGACCCTTCACGTATTTCCCGCACTCGATCTCATCACCACTCTTCGTCATCTTTCCAGTTAGCCTGCAAACCCGTAGGATCAGGGTCCCGTCGATCTTCCCTTGCCAACTTGGAGCAGCTTCTGGACAGTCAATCTCCCATCACGAGCCCTGGGATACCTCATTTCTCAGCCCGTACCTCGACCGCCACCGGCCTCAGCGAGGCCTTGTTCTCACCAACACACTCCAGGCTGGAGTCTTCGGCTGGCTACGGGTCAATGCCCCAACGCCAACGCAGCGATATCATCTCGTCCATCGCGGTTCCCCCAAGACACCTCCCAAAACTCCCCTGCAGGACAGGCCGCTACCACCTCTTCCTACCGACAACTCCCCATCGTCAAAGGGAACAACTACATCCAATCCCTCATCCACCACCCTCTCCGAGAACGACATCCCAACCCCAACCCCAAACACCACCCCAACCCGCACCGGCCGCGTCGCGCAATGGCTCCTCCAAACAGGCAACAAAGCCTCTCCCCCTGTCTCCTGGAAACCCCGAGCCGAAAAGAGCGGGAGCGGAAGCGCAAGCGCAAGCGCAAACGCCTTCCGCATCCGCTCACGCACCCTCAGCGGCTCAACGGCCGTCTCTTCCGCACCAAGCACAACAATCACCACGGGCTTAGGTCCAAGGACGCCCCCATCACGGGGCACCCAAGACCGCAATCCCGCTCTACCATCCGAAAAGGACCTCGAGGCCTTTCCGTCGCGGGCCCTCTTCTCACACACCCCGCCAGCCCTCTCATCCACAACCATGTCCATCCCCGACGACAGACCCTACCCCACCATCTACGAAGGCCAGCAACAGCAATTCGCGTACAGCGAGTTGGAGTACTACTCGAGTCCCAATCACCGCCAATCGACCATCGGCCTGGCCTTTTGATTTCTGCATCATCCTGTCATTCATTTCATAGTGCTCTATGCAATGCACTGCACACGTTATCGTGGTGTGCTCGAGGCACCTGCCAGTGCCAGACGCATGTGCCTTGCATGCAGGATTCGATCATGTCGATAGATATTTCCCGCTTTTCTCTTGTTTTGCAGCTTCTGTATGTGTGATGATTCCCCTTGCGTAAATGTGCGTGCCTGCAGCATTCGGTCTGCAGGACGGGTTAGCCTTGCGCTTTCCCTCGTTGGTCGGGAAGTGACTGGATAATAATATATCTTTACATTCGATCGTGCCCATGGATGATTGCTATCTGTCGTAGGCTACCTGTAGTATATGAAGCAGGGTGTATGGAGTACCAGAAAAGCAGTCACTTGGTATTCTGTCTACACTTCAAGGTCTTGGGATATCCGTGTGCATCAAGGTATAAAAAAAAGGATCCAACATCAGGCAGTCAAACAGAACCAGTCTCCAACTCCATGATGGAGTAGAAAGCAGATTGAGACAGAGAAAGACCAGACATGCAAACACCTCCATACACCATCATTCCACTTGGTATCATATATTGAATGTTTGAACGAAGATTCGACCCTCCAATGTGTTTCCCATGTAAAAGACAAAATCGGCATTGCCGTCTCTTCACACACCCCGGAATAAGCACGAAAACAAGAAACGCAAACATCTCGCACGCAGACTAATCAATAAAAAAGCAGAAAGGCTGGTTTAGGGAAAGAAGACGCAGGAGTAAAACGTCTTTCAATTCAGAACAGAGCAGCCAATGCTCTTTTTTTGTCCTACACGAAATCTCCTGACGATTCCTCTTGCATGCTGTCTGTGGTATCAAATGGGAACGAAACCGAAAACAGGAAAAACAAAACCGCTGAAAACAAACTTCTCGAAACAGCAGATCAAGTGCCTTGGGGTATAGTGCTGCAAACTGATATCTTGATTTAACGCGGTGGCCCAATAGGAGCCGGGTATCCAGAAGTAGAATTGGAAGTACTAGGACGACCACTATCAAAAGACGCGCGGGGATCATGCTTGGGAGTCATGTCGCCTGGCGCGGTACCGAACGGAAATTTAGTATCAAAACGTGCTGGCCAACCGTTTGTGCTGCTGCTGTGGCTGTGGGAACTGCCAAGGACAGGCAAGTCGTCCTCGGGCAGATTCACCCCCGAGTCATTCCATGGGTTGCGGTAGCCACTGTCTCGGGACTCCATGGAAACAAGAGAGGCCTTTGACGCATTGCTGGATGCATGTTTGAAGAACGAACCGGGAGAGGCGGAATGGTTCTTACGACCAATGAAAGAAGAGAACGAGGAGATGCTGCCGGGCTTCCGAAGCCTCTCGAAAATCGATCCACGCTCGCTCGTCTCATCGGGGAAGTTGGGCCGGGTGGGGGAGTCGGTAACAATGGGAGTGGGAGCATGCTGCAATAGCTTCGAGTCGAAGAACGGGAGGGACTCTTCAAACGAGTCGGACTTGGGCCGCGGGATCGCACCTTTGACCGTGGTCGCATCGAGGCCATGGGCGACAAGTCGGGAGATCAAGAAGTCGATGGCATCCTTGAGCCCACCGGCGTTGTTGCGCGTGTACCCGAGCACAACACGGTCCTCGGGAGCGAAAGTCGAGGAAGCCGAACCAGTCTCGGAGATTGGCGACTCGGGATTTGCGTCCACCGAAGTATCAACTTCGTATTGCTCTTTCAACTTGCAGCAGACATCCTCACGGAACTCGGGAGATCTGAAGAAGTCACGCAATTCCTGAGAGCTCTGGAAAAGAAGTTCGTGACTCTCAGGCACCATTCCCAGCAAGGCATCAACGGCCTGAGGGACCTGATACTCGGGTCCAGAAATGGTCACGACATCGCTAGCGAGCTCCGTGCTAGGGAACTCGATCTTGCAATTCCACTTCTTCTCGAGTTCATCGATCTCGGTCATGCGGGCAAGCAGTTCACGGTGGTACAAGCGATTGATGACAACACGCTCAGAAACGTATTCGGCATCCTGGATAGCTATTAGAAGGCCAACCTTTAACGGGCTTGGACGACAAGGTCGAGCACTTACAACTTTCTCAACCATGTCCATGATTTCCTGCTTGACCAGATCGAGAGACTGGGCATTACGAGCTGGCGTCCGGCAGATGACATTGTCAACCTTGATGTCATCATCTTCCTTGCCCATACCGCCGCGGTCCATAGCGTTGGAAAATTTGACGAAGACGGAATATTTCTTCATGATGCGTTGAATGTGCTGTCCGCCGATTCCGATGATCCGCTTGTGGTACTGATCCGGCACATGGAAAGAGATGGAAGCAGGCATTTCCTGCTCGACAAGATCAAGACCGTTCTTCGTGGACTCATATTGATTGCCACAGACGTCGATGTAGAAGTTGTACTCGTTGAAGCCATCGAATATGATTTGAACGTTGCCTGAACAAGGTCAGTGAGACGTTGCAAACAGTGTGTTGAAACGGTCAAAAAGACTTACTCTGGCCCATGATTTTATTGATCTTGCCGTTCTTCTTTCCACTGACAAACTCCTTGTGCTCATTTGCAAGCTCAATCTTGACGCGCATTTGGTATTGGCTTCGCTTCACAAATGGAATTTGGTTGACAACCATCATTGCGGATTTCACCGCGTCGTCCGACCCATTGATGGTGAAAGTCAGGTTGTCAAAGCTGACTTCGGCGCCCGAATTGGTGCAGATGTCAGACAACATTGTGCGGATGTCCGCGGCTGAAGGAGCGCGGAAGCCGCCTTGGGAAGGGTCAGGCATGATGATCCACCACGAAGCACTGTAGAATTGACCGGCCTACACAATTTGTCAGAAAGTGAATCAAATGGGGGGGGGGCAGAGATTGTATGGCTCGACGCACCAGAGCCATTATCTCCCGCACAGTGCGCTCAACGTGCAGTACCTCGGTGCCCTGAATACGCACAAGGCCCCGTTGACTGCCGAGTTGCGGGAAGAGAACATAGGAACCGTTCATTTCCATCACCTTCCGGACTTTGTCGAGGCGGTCAAGCAGAATGTTGTCAATCTTGTTGGAATTGACGATGACATCCTTGACGTAGATCTTGACTCCCATCACCAACTCGCGCAACTTCTGTTTGGCACGAGCAATCTGTTCCTGGGTATCACCCGTAATGTACACCTCATCCTCACTGCGGCGATGGGCACCTGGAGGAGTGTAGCCGAAAATCCGTGGGAAGGGTGGGGGGAAGTAAATTGCCGTGCCGGTAGCCGCTTCGATGAGCTTGATGTTCTTGCGCGTCCGACCGCAGACCAAAGTGTGCATGGTCAACTCCAATCTCATGGCATCCACATGACGTTTCAGCTAGCGATGCATTAGTGCCCAAGATCAAGCTGATTGGAGAGAGGAAACATACAATTTGGTCAATCATGATCAAGACTCTGGTCTTGGCATGCTCAGCACTCTCCATGTCACCGTAGATGGAAACCCGGAATCGATGATCCAGCCCATTGTCCGAAGCGTATCCATAGGATGAAACCACCGAACTGTCCGAATCACGAAACTTGGGGCTCAGCAGGAAAATGTCGGTGCCCGTGTAGGCGGCCAAGGTATCCAGGTGTTCCAGAACACTCGATCGAACGCCCTTGGTCGATCCATCCATAATGAGATGTATGTCCACGTCGACGGTCGCGCAGCGCTGAGGATAGATAAAGGTTAGCGAATATTACCACTGCTAGATATGATGCTCTGCAGCGAAAGCTCGTTTCATACCAGTAGAATGGGTGTCTCATTGAGAATTTTTGCCCGCATCTTGCGCACAGTTTCTCCGTCACCCGTGATGCAGACGTTGGTCACCAAGCCTTGAGGTCGCCTCTGCAATGATGAAACCGACTTGGGTTCTGAAGACGTAACCACCGCTTCAACCCGACCGTTACTCGACTCCGTAATCTGACGGCACAATCTGCGAAGAGATTCGACGTTGCTGGCGTGGACAGGTAGGTTGTAGACCGGGGTTCCTTCCGGGGTGCCTTCAGGAAAAGACCAGCGCTGAAGGGCGCCGGGACTCGCATGAATCACATCATCGATATCGGGACCGGCGAGGGTGGAGGAGAATGGGACATTGAAGGACATGTTGACCGTGGGATCGATTCCAGTGGGAGGAGTCATAGGAGGAGCGCCGTGCGGCCGCCGAAGAGTGTGGGAGGTCATGTCAGTATGAGGTCTGGACATGCCAAAGGTAGGCGTCATCCGCTCCCAGCCATGACGGGCCTGGCCCGTAAAATTGGAGATCTTGTGCATGACACAAGAATAGATCGAATCTCTGACCCCTTGAACAAGTCGAGGGGAAAGAGAGGAGAGGGAGCAGAAGGAGGGAGATGGCGGAAGTTGATCCGGGAGGAATTTGGTGAAGAGAAAGGAGAGGACGATCGATCTCAAGAAGGATGAAGCCGCCGTTCTCGACAGGGATGATTGGGGGAGGGCGGCGTCGGATGGAATGGTGTTGGTGGACAAGGGCGTTATGGAGCCGGAATGGTGGGAAAAGGCAAGCAATTCGACCAACGAGACAAGGGTATCGAAGTGGGGAGATAAGGAAGATGAAGAGAAAAGGAAAGAAAAAGAAGAGGGAAAAAAAAGGAAAAGGAAAGAAAAAGGCCAAAGGGTGATGTGTCAATGAAGAGAAGATAATAGATGGGAAAGTGGAGGAGTAAGAGGAAGAGAAGTGAGGAAGTGAGAATGTGAGTAAGAAGGAAGAGTGAGAGAGACGAGAGACAGAGAGACAGCTCTGGGCGCTGAAGGTATTTTCCTCGAACGGTCTGGGTTGGCTGAATTCAGGTTCCTTCGGTGGTCTACGGCGGACTGGGAACGGGTCTTACTTGGTCTTCGACTCTCCTTGAAGATTCTTCCGATGACAGCAGTATTTTAGTAGATAGTAAATAAAGAAACTACTAGATAGAGTTGAACAATTGAGTTGAGCTACTCTATTCATCTGATCTGACTCTCTTCACAGAATTGCTATCATTCTCAGCCCAGTGGCCTTGTCTTACCTTAAGGCGGAAGATGCGGGTCAAAGGTCTGGTCCAGTGTCTAGACTACTACTGGCTCAGGACAAAGTACGGTTTGATCACCGACAAAGCAATTATAATCATCATGATGATGATGATTGTAGACTGTCGTTGACTCGTTCCGGTCAATATGGCTACAATAGTGACGATGATAATGATTTCTAAGTCCTTGAGGTCTCAAGGTTCCTGCTTTTGGAGAGGAAGCAGACAGCCTATCTATATCCTCAGACACCTCATAGTGCCTTCCGTTGCTCTGATACTTGGTTTCAAGGCAATCCTCTCTTGTCTCACATACACAAGTCTTCAAAACAGCGAATATGTAAAATCCCGCAAGAAGAGATCAACAGAGCCATACTGATCTGGGAGAAAGGTGTGGCTGTACAATTATGGGCTGTCATCTCTTGCTCTTCTCGCATTCGTCTTTCCTGCACCGCCCACACGCTATTCCCTTTCGCGGTTTCCAAGCGAAAATGGCAGTCACGTGCATTTCTTAGCAACAGCTGAGGTCACAGCTCAACCAAACGGAGTCTGCACTCCGCACAGCATGCTTGCTGTGTTATGACCACATCCTCTCAACCACATGTGAGGATAGCTTTCCGTAGGTCAACGACCGATCAATCAGTCTTCATGTCACAGAACTGGTCCAATTACCAAGGAAGTCATGTCAGTGCACGCGAGTTCCTACCTCGCCTGGTTGTTCCGGCCCTCGAGTCGAGCGAATTGAATTTTGCTCGGGAATTGAAGGAATCCCTTGTTCATAATGATCTGTTTGTGTTTACCTGGCCGATTTTATACAGGACTGGGGTACTATTGTCGACTCATCAGCCGGTAATACATGATTTGCCACTCGAACATGCCACAATGCGTGATCCTCAAGGGACGGTATGGAAGTGGGCCTAATCCCTCTCTTACAGCGTATTCGATTTCCATAACCACCGGGACCATTTCTTTCTGTCGGAAGAGGTATTGAGATCTGGTCAACAATTACCTCTCTAGGGTAGTTTCTTCAAGTACGGTATACGAGGCCTTGCGTCACCAGTTCCCATCCATCTCATCATTATTACTGTCGATGCAAGTACTTGGTTACTCCACCCGGAACTCCCAAGAGGAGCCCAAATCAGGACATCAGCAGTATGGTGCATGAGATACCTCTCTACCCCGTACTTCCAAGAGGGCAGCGAAGATTCGGGAATTTACGATCCTGTTTCCTGTTCTCCATAATCATCAGCAAGTGTCATGGTCATCTCCCCTACACTTTTTCCTGATCAAGTAGCACCACGGATCTACCTGAAGAATGCCAATCATATCAATGAAACTCGACCACTCTAACTCAATCGAAGCCAAGGGGCCTGTAGCCCGCAAGTGGAGAGGATGCCTCCGTGGCATCCCCAGCAGGTATGTCTCTCAAAGGTATGTTTGGGCACCATCAAAGCAACCATCGCTTTTCACCAAGATAGCCCTTCGTACTTTGACCATGTGTCAACGACAAGAGATCCATATTAATTAGTATATCTGTAAGGAAAAATATCAATCCAAGTCCTTCATCGACCTAAAATCAACGACGTCATCGTTGCTAGTGCTAGTTGTGGGTCTGTCTCACAACAGAGCAGACCAGATAGGTCCTGTCTCTGTACTCTGGACATCATAAAGCAAGTATCTCCCATAGAGTAGGTAACTCTAACTGCACTTTACGCCCAAGGAACCGAACAAACGGGCACATGCGCATCAACCAACTGGAATCAATCCCGCTATTTATTCCCCGGATGATGTCTCATCACTCCCCTGGTAGGTAGCCCTGCAGCCCTGCGTCCGAGCCACGCTGCATATATATCCCGTCTGCTTTCCATCCATTCTAGCGATCATCTACAGGTATATTCCGAGCAAACATACCTTAACCTTATCCATGGTTAGAACCTTCATTAACCCAGTGGAATCCACAAGACTAGAACCTACTTCTAGGGGTCCTGACCATTGGATGCGCACTGCCCAATAAACGCCATGATTAACGCATAAAGATCTGGATTCTGCCTGTTGATTCTCACCGATTCAGAGGCCGCTAAAGCGTCTGGACTTTTTTAGTTAGTCCAGAGGAGCTGCATCCTGCCTACTTTAATGGTCGAAATGTGCATGCAACGCGCAGCATGGATGTATGCTGTGGTGCTTGAAGCATGCACAGATGTGGTCTGAGCTACAGGCTAGCTCTGGGACCGTTCCCTTTAACTGCAAATATCTAACCACTACCACCACCACCACTCCTCCAATTATCCTTGCAGATGATGAGCCTCCGTGTTTTGGAAAATATCATGTCATTCCTTCTATTACTGTAGTGGTATTTCTGATGCAAGGATGGTTTACTGGAATGATCTTCGAATGCCCTTTCATGTTCATTGTGAAGGAGAGTACATTAGAGCCTTAGTTAGATAACTTGTGATGATTACTCCATACATGCAAATGAATCGACCCAGTGCTGGGCTCAATAACGCTGGGAAACCCGATGAACGGTCTCTCTCCCATCGAGGACCACTCGCTCCGGCTCCCCTTCATAGTATCTTTCCTCTCTCGCCAGAGGGCGTGGCGCAACATAAACAGGTCGCTCGATATATTCTCTTGGCCGCCGAGCGTCATCGTCTACATAAACACTTACATCTCGTTCGGCTGGGCGGACGCTTCCCATCCGCGGGATCATCTCCCGAGGCTCCTCATATCGACTAGCAGGAGGGCGGACACTTGGCATCCTGATGATTCTCTCACGCGGGAGATCCGCCTCGTCAACGTAGGTCGCACGAGATGCAGGATACCCGGCAACTTGAACGCTACTGCTGCGTGGGTAAGGCTCTCTGTCGTCAACCAGTGGCGCGACGTAGCTGCGCCTTTCGCTCGGGGCGGGCCGCGGGTATTCCGTCACCCGTCGATAAGCTGCTGGCGGCGGCGGCATTTCCTGCACGTATCTCCGGCCACCATATGGATCCTCAACAACGGAGACTGCTCGAACACTACCACCAGGACGTATCGGTGCTGCGCCGTCATCGTAGACCTCGCCTCGCGGGATTATTCGACCTGGGGGTGGAGGCATTGCCTGCATTCTTGGCGGTGGAGTCCTCTCACGATAGTGATTTCCATGCTCGTCTATCAAGATCCGCCGTGGAGGTGCCGTCGCACTTCCTTCGATCCAGGCCTCTTGGTAGCGCGGCGATGTCGGCGACCCAACTGTCGGGGCGTAGTGTCTGGCGTAAGCTTGGGGCGGTTCGTCATAATACCTGACTCTTTCTTGCGGAGGACGCTCCACAATAGCGTAGGATGCAGCGCGCAGCGAGCGAGAGCTGGGTCGCTCAATGTACTCCCGAGCATACTCAGGTTGCCGAGCCTGGTGTAAGCTTGCGACCCTCCGTAGATCTTGGTCATCGCGTACCGGGCGCCGAACACTAAGCCTCGAAACCGTTCTTGGGTATGCGGCTTCAACATGAGCTTCATGATAAGGGTCGAGCTCATATGCAGGCTCCCGCACCGGCTCGATTCTCTCGTACACTGGTGTATAGGGAGGACGAGGCGAGGCAATGTCAATATAGATCGGCCTTTCTTGAGGCTGGATTGTGGGTGCCGTGTCAGCAAAAGGCGGCGGCGAGACAGGCTCTTCCTTGATATATGCCTCGGTACTGCCACCTGCTTGCGGTCTGTAAGAGACTGGGCCGGGTCGGCTTCTGTCTTCCTGTAATCTCCTACGTTTCCTCGGCATCAACTGCTGGGGCGGAATTTCAGGACTGGCAGCCCGAAGATCCTGTCTCGCATGCTGCATCCGGTTAGAGCTGTGGTCTACTGGTGGGACTTTGGGGTGATGGATGGTGGGAACCTTAGCTATGGCCAGAGGGGAGACTCTTGACGGCTGCGGGGCCGCAGGAGAAGTGATATGATTGCGCACAACCCTCACGTTATCCCTAGGTGATACTGTTTTGCGACGATTTTGATGGGGACGAGGAGGCTCCTGGTCTCGTCCACCGCGCTTGTCCGTATGTGGTTGTCTCTGCTCGATCGGTTGTGGAAGGTCCGCGGTTTCCATAGGCGGTATGCCTGGAGCGGGAGGCGAATACTCGGGCTCCTCGAAAGCATCCGCCTGCTGTTGAATGGCCTGCAAGTTGTTGTTCGTGGGATCTACCTGAGCCTGCTGGGACTGCCTTGGACGGTCTGCAACCGGGTAAGTATCTTGCATTTCCTGATCCGATGTAGGTCTGTTGAGGGCTTCAAGCCGTTGCAACTCATCTGAGTAATTCTCTACTGGAGCTTCAGTAGCAACTTCCTCTGAATTAGAAAGAGGCGCCGAAGATGGCTTCTGCTGGATCGGAGAGTCAGGGGCTCTACTGGAGTCGAAGGATTCATCATACGAGTCACTGGGGGCTTCCATGCCATTGGGCCCAGGGACATCGATGGATGGTGAAGGTGGAACCAGCTCAAAGGCCTTGTTTAAAACTTCCGAGACATCAAAGTCTGGCTTCGCGTCCTGCATGGCGGCCCGCTGCCGGGACTCTTGCTTCTTTTGTTCCAGCTGCTCTCGTAACGCCCTTTCCACTCTCTGTCGTTGCAACTGCAATTCCGCTCTAACTAGATCATCGGATTTGGTCAAGAAGATCGGATCAATCTCCGACGTAGGTTTGGGAACAATACGCGTAGACTGAGGCGCGCTGGTCACACCAGATGACGCATTGTTTTTGAGGGTCTGCGCACTCGCGACTCCTGCAGCTGCTGGCTTGGACTGTGATGGATTACCCTGGAAAGGAATCTGACCGCCAGCAGTCTTTACCTGAGCTTGTCTTGTTGGGGTAGGGGGATTAGGGGCATTTCGAGACGCGGTCTTGCGCACAAATTGCTGGGGAACTTTCAACCTAGGGTGAGCACCAGTAAAGATGTCGTCGCTAATTTTCAGAATCTTCTCATATTCCTTCATCTGCTCACTTTCCGGTAAGCTAGCTGATATAGCCGCAGCTTGGAGTTGAGCTGTCCCGGGAGTTGCCATAATGCTGAAGCTCCACGGGCGGGAGGTTTGGCTTATGGGAGTAATTTATATCGATACTTGGAGCACCTGTAAATCCAAAAGCCCTTTTAAACCTAGTTCACCTGTGATGAGTTGATCACTCTATCGACAGGAAACATGGAAGGTTGGGAGCAGGAAAGTCGGGTGTATTTTCGCCTTTGACGTGGTCAAGGGAGAATGAAAAAAAATAGCAGAATGCAAGCTTCCAAGTCCGAACGAGTTACTGTAAGCTACGCTAGGCTCACTAAGGAGTAGTAAGGGTAGTCCGTGAGTCCGTGACCGGGGGCGGTCAATGCTAAGCTCTGTACGGAATTACAATGCGGGCGGTTGATCCCGCGGATTCAGGCTGTATGGGTTCATGAAGTTGTGAATCATAGTGGGGTTACTCTGCTTTCTCCTTCATCTATGACTCCTTTTGATGTTATGTACTTATCGCATATGCCACAGAATCCAACCTAGGTTTACACTTCCCTCATCTTTCTCTTATAGACCCTTTATCTCTCACAGTGATATCATCCACCGGCGGAGAACAATGGCGACTGCAGAATGTCCCACTGGCGCAGTACCTGATCCTGATCCAAGGCCAGTTTTCTTCTTTGACATAGATAATTGTGTATGTATATGCATCGCTCTTTTGCTCTGTTGCATTTTCGCAAATCCCAAGCTAACCAGAAGTCATGTGCAGCTCTATTCGCGAGGTCAGGAGCCCCGCCGACTCGCGCGCTCTGACGAGGACTGACATGGCCAGCGCAGAATGCAACATCCATGATGAGATGCAGAAATTGATCCGTTAGTTGCCTCAAAACCTCCTCGGCACCGCACTCGGCCAAGAACCCGTCTAACCTTGTCACCATCGCAGACCAGTTCTTCGTCAAGCACCTCTCCCTCTCCGCTGAAGACGCCCACATGCTCCACCAGAAATACTACAAGGAGTACGGTCTTGCGATTCAGGGCCTGACACGTCACCACACCATTGAACCCCTTGAATTCAATCGTGAAGTCGATGATGCCCTCCCCTTAGACAAAATCCTCAAACCGGATCCCAAATTGCGCAAGTTACTCGAGGACATCGACAAGTCCAAAGTGAAGCTGTGGCTGCTCACAAACGCTTACATCACACATGCCCAACGTGTCATCAAGTTGTTGAAGGTGGATGATCTGTTCGAAGGCATCACATTCTGCGACTATTCGCGGCCTCCGCTCATCTGCAAGCCATCCCAGGACATGTATGAGAAGGCGGAGATTGAAGCCAGGGTGCCGAGCACGGAGCAGTGCTACTTTGTTGGTATGTTTTTCTTTCGTCCTTTGACCTTCTCTCGGTATTATGCTGATAATCGGCAGATGACTCGCACTTGAATTGCAAACACGCCGCGGAACGTGGCTGGACTACTGTCCACCTCGTCGAACCGACGCTCCCGGTACCTCGGGTTCCGGCCTCACAATACATGATTCGAAGCCTTGAGGAGTTGCGGACACTGTTCCCACAGTTCTTTAAGGCTAATGTCGCATGATAGATAACTTGACAGACGTTTGTTCATAGAAAGGGTAGTTTGTATCATGTTAGATTAATGAATATATACGAAGCTTCTGCCATTAGGCTCGCAATGGCGGACTCTGTTGCGGCAGTTGATTATAGGTTCTTCTTTCTGATTCTTCTTACTTGTAAAGCCACTTTTAATCGCGTATGAGGGGAACCAACAGGCTAAGTAACACTATAACTCGAATCACCACCGTTTCTCTTGGCAAAGACTGGTATGGCAGCCTAGAGGTTGCCAGGCACCCTCTCACACAGCATCATGATCACCATTTCATTTTGTTAACTTCTTTTCTTCTTACCCCTTCCCCGTTAACCCACCATCCAGGCTTTAAGCATGGCACACACAACACGACCATCTGCCCCTGACGCAGATGAAATCATGCGCCTGGCAGTAGAACGATTCCGCACCAAAATGGAGTCCTCTAACCGGCAATTCCTCCAAGACCGGATCGACGAAATCGAAGCCATGAAGCTCCCCACCGAAGAAGAAAAACTGGAAAAGATGCGCCCCTACTGGCGCAGTAATTTAGGAATCAAGGGCGAGGATCCCTGGAATGATTGCGCCCCAGTAGGCCCAGTCCGGCAATCTGGCGAGGAGAGAAATATCACTCGATTGGCGGACGTTAAAACGCTATACCACCAGTATATGGATGGCATCCAGCCCCCAACGCTGGTATCAGAGGAGTGGCGTCAGATGTATCTGGAGCCCGTCCAAAGCGTGTGCAATGAGGCGGCCTTTCGCGAAGAGCAGGAAGAGAAGTTCGAAATCCCGCTCTGCCACGAGCTGGGTTCCTTTATCAAGTATGCCGATGGTGTCCAGGATCCAGATTTCCGGCGCTCGGGCATCGCCCCTTTCGAACCTGTTTTCGTATCAGAGACCAAGGACTATGCCTTGAAGGATCACCCGACGGTACTTGCATTGCCGCCCCCTGATATCAACGTGGCCCGAGAAGCGCTGAAAGATTATCTGCAATATTACCTGTGTGACGAAAACTTCATTGACGGGATTGTCGATGAAGACTTGGAAGTGAGAGTCGGTTTCTTGACCGGCACTGGCTGCCGGTGTGGACATGATGAATGGCACAGTGCCTATCTCTACTGTCGCCGGTTCGTGGAGGACTCTAATCCAAGCCACAAGGACTGGGCGTGGCGGGTGGTCGTTTTCCACGCCGACGGTGAGAACCCCACTGAACTAAACGGGCGGTACCCAAGATTCGATTCCATCCCTGAGTTTCTGGAATGGTATAGCTCCTGGCTGGAACATGCAGATCTAGATCAAATTCGGAAGGACGTCATGAAACCTGAGTATGATAGTGATGAGGATCGGTAGCCAGCTTATGGATTCGTTTACAATGGGTAGTCAATCCATTCCATGTAGCATGGGATATGTGCAAAGGAGAAACCCCTCTGAGTTACTGCTCAGTGCTCATCTATCTGCCTCCTTCCTCATCACTCAGTGCTCTCAAGTTCTTACCATCTCCGGCAGCGTTTTCACTAGCAGGATTCTTGGATACTCCTTCGGCCTCCTCCTTGCCATTGCGCCATTCAATGCCCAAGTTGCCAATGACAGAAAGACAAGCAAAGACGGGAGCAACCAAAAAGCATAGCCGCAGTGAGGAATTGTAAGCACTCAGCACAGCAGCGTGGAACTGAGACGGAATGGTCTTGAAGAGACCAGTGGTACCAGCGCTCCCAATGTTCTCGGGACTGATGCTGATGCCAGAGATGCGGGCAAAACGGGTAGCCAGACCTTGGTGGAGAACGTTCTGGTCAACCGAGACAAATATGGTACGGAAGACCATCTGACCGAAAAGCGTGAGGAAAGCGCCGATGGCCACTTCTTTGCGAGGGAGTACCGTCTGCGCAGCGAAGCGGGGCGCCTGGAGGCAACAGCCCAAGCCGAGGCCATACACGATCTGGTAGCCGATCCATTGGCTGGTCGTTGCGCTGACTTTGAGCATGCTGAGAAGGCCGGCGCCGACTGATACACTGCATGTGCCAGCGATCAGGAACGGCGTGTAATAGCCCACTTGAGCCATTCCCACGCCGCTGACAATGGATGAAACAACCATGGCAATCACCAGAGGCAGCAGGTGGATGCTACTCTCGATGGCGGAGTCACCTTTCACCGACTGGAACCAGATGGGGAGATAGTAGACTGGTGCTCTCCTATCAGCAAAAGATAGGCCGTTCAGTACGAGCCTGCCTCGTTTGACGCGTGGAATTCATTGGCGATGGACGGTGTGACAGTTGAGATGATTGGTCTATCCTGCAGGCCCTCCAAGTTGCAAGGAGAAGAAGTGTGAGAGCATTTAGACTGTACCAATGCAACTAGGAACATGGCGATATAGAGGGAGGTCTTCAGCAAGACCAGCCTAAGATCCGTAGGGTACTCGTGGTCATCAGGAGCTCTGGCGGAGTCATTGAAATCCCCTTCTTCTCCTGCTCCTGCGGGTTATCATTGCCCGAAGTTCCCATTGCGATTCAAAAGGATGGACTCGAACTCGATTATTGGTCTTCATTGAAAAAGCCTGGTTGTAACGAGTGTCAAGACTCTTAATATATATGGACAACATTTGACTCTTTTCGCGACGAACCGTGGTCCACAGTGGCGGACGTAGCCGGTATGCCGACAACCACATATTGTCTAGTTTACTTGGACGCGAGGGAAACGGCGCTTGTTTCGTTCTAAATCATCCTTTGTATGGAGAATAGCCATGATCCTCCCGCGATCTTCGGTCATCCTCCTGCGGGCCGGCATGAATCATGATCGTCCGTCCCACCCTCCGTCCGTTTGCCGTTCAAATCACGACCCTCCGCCTTCCGACGCTCTACTATCTGATGGATAGTAAAATCTCGCTGTCGATTTTCTACTCGAAGATTAAGGTAAGATGATAATAATGAAGCTCAGGGTGGATTTGATCCTGACTAGATCAATTGCGGAGCTAAACCAGGTACGGTTAGTCCAGTCAGATTTTGGACATACAACATCGACAATGCAAGTACCTGGCAAGAAGTGAATTGTAGCCATCGATAAATGTAAAGTACATAAGTTCATTTTGAGTCGAAATAAGAAAGGGTGCAAGAGCACAATTAAAAGAATGAAGTAGGCAATGAAGAAATCGTGGTAAGTAGAAATACAGCACACCGGCAAAATGCGCCAAGATGGCGTTGAAAGCCGATCAGAGAAACCAGCTCATAGCTGCCAATGCTGCCCCAGGGATCAAAATACTAGGGCATGGAACGGTAACGATACTCGCAGAGGATTTCTTATCCTCGTCCTTGTTGTTATTAGAGGCTGGAGCCGAATTGTTGCTGTTGCTGTTGCTGTCGCTGTTACTGTTGCTCGACGACACAGTCTTCTGTTTCTCAAAGCCACACAACCCAGAGTTATTGAGTTGCGCGACAGGGAAAAAGACCCTTGGTTCACCAGAGTCCATATCAACGGTCAGATTGCCGGCGTCGTTAGCAGTGAGCTTGGAGCAGCTCAGGACTTCCATGACCTCTGTCCCAGGCCCATACGCATCCTTTAACGCAAGCTGGTACTTGCCACCGTTCGAGCCCTGGTTTGAGAAGATTGAAACAATCTGCGCTCCCTCGGGGCCCTTCCTGGTAGCGTACGTGGAGTTGTCGGAATGAAGCTCTATGCTATGGTTGGTCACATAGCGGTTGTCGATGCTGATGGCGTGGTTTCGGAGCTTGTTCAGCGTTGCGGTGAGCTTGAATAGCGGGCCCGTGGTATCATAGTTCGTTGTCCAAAGGGCTGCTCGGTTGAAAGGCGTGTAGTTGCCCGGCATGTGCTGCTCTTGACCTTGGTATACTGATTGAAACTATTAGCACTGCCTGGGGAACCCCTTTGTCGTGTCGAGGAACGTACCTTGGGGGATGCCGTCTGAGAGAATATTGAAAGCCATCGCGTTTTTTGCCAGCTAATTTGTACCTGTTAGCGGGATATAAAATGCCCGGTGCAATCATCCAAACCTACGGTCGTGTCATTGGTCAGTGACGCAAAGCGAGGGAGATCGTGATTCTCCACGAATGTTTCCAGAAGCGTAAAATCCTTGCAATCTTTTTGCACGGCTCGGATACTTTCGGCGAGTCCAAGCATATTGCCTGCTGTGAAGGCTTGGATCAAGGCGTAATAGAGTGGATAATTCAGGACGCTAGAAACCAAATCTTCATATTTGCACACCAGGCTTGTGTCTCCGTTGCTGACTTCGCCTATCGTGAATAAACCAGCCGCCTTGGAGAAGCTGGAGACATAGTTGTCATCCATGTGCAGTGCAGCGTCAATGCGTAGTCCGTCAACAGAGTAATTGCCAACAAATTGCTTGATCCAATCTCCGATCATTGTGGTGACGGAGGTATCTTCCGTGTTCAGATCTGGCAGGGCAACCGTTTCCACGGCAAACCAGCAATTCTTGTACATTTTAGGATCAGTCCAGTCCGTGATGGCACAGAAAGGATGATAGTACTTCTCATCGTCAAAGGGAAAAAGCTGGGAATAGTCCATCTTCAGAGACGGGTCATCTTTCATGGAACCATTGACAGCTTGAGCCATATCATTGATCACAACATCAACAATTAGGTACATGTCTCGTCTATGGACCTCGCTCACTAATCTGTGAAGCTCATCTGCGGTCCCAAAGTGTTCATTGAGAGCATACAGATTCTTGGGCCAGTATCCATGGTATGCTTCGCCGTATTTGGTATTGTCCGGGACGTTTTCCACGACCGGCGAGATTTGAATGGCGGTGAATCCGAGGTCTTGGATGTAGTCGAGCTTGTCAATGATGCCAGTCCACGAGCCTCCACAGTACCTGTTAGGGTCACAAGGTGCGTCAGATGAGCCCTTTGGGCGAGCAAAGCGGTCTGTCATAACTTGCTACAAGGACGACACTGTCAGTACTTTGAGCCGAGACGGTCACGCTTCACGTTAGACCCATGTGATAATGCTCAAGGGAGACAAACGTAGATGGCTCTCTCAGCCCATTGCTGAGAAGATGGAGCATCAGCCGATGCGAGACTGACTAACGCAGACCAGATTGCACCATGATACAAAGACTGCCGCATTTTCGCGCTCCTGCTTTGCCAGTTCTGCTGATGACTTTGAGGGGCGAGCTTGTCAGGAAAGGAATGATACAACAGCGATGGATAAGTCAGAAAGAACACAACTGTGGGAAGCGCAGGAAGAGCTTCTCAAATTATATTGAGGACAACAGCTTATATAGAGCGGGGTTCCTACAAAGGGAAGGAGCAAGGGCTCGATGCCAGGAGAGAAGACATGTTTAATATACAGCAAGTCGCCTCAATGTAACCCTGCGATATTGACTTGACTCAACCAACAATTAGTCTAGTGCTCTAGTGAGTGCACGAGGGTATCCTAGCCACTGTTGTAATGGACTCTTGCCTGCTTGTGAAAGTGTGGATATCACGGCCAAGGCCCGAAAAGTGAGTTCGCCAGTCCAAGAGAACCCTTTTGAGGCTAAGTCTGGATTTTGCGAAATTGCCTACATGGTCCCTGACCAGCAGCTAAGCATCGCTTAGGGTGCATTTTGATAGCGTCCCACAGGGGTTCGACCGTTCGAGAGGAACGACTCCAAAACGAGTCATTCAGAGCCTGCCAGTGCCATGGTGTACCAAGGACGAAAGTCACTAAACCATTGATGCGCTTTCATAGCGAGTGGTCCGTTTCCACAATCGAACGGCCTGCAAGAAGTTGTGCTTTTCTGTGTCCTTTGGAGAAAGCTGCCAGACCAAGATGCGGCGCAGGAGGTGTTTCCCAAGTTGCCGCCTAACGATTCTGTTGACATTAGTTTTGTGGTAGAGAACTGAGCAGTAACTTCTTTCGGGTAGATTGCCCGAATGCGCCGCCGGATGATTCGCAGGGACGATGTAGTCTGCCTAGTCTACCCAGGAACTGCTCTGGAGTCGAAAGCACTAAGGAAATTGGACTGTGGACGCTCCGGCCACTTGCACTTTATGGTTTAGACGCTTTGGATAAGTGTGTCAGGGGCTGGTGCCTCAGGCCACACTTCCAACCAATCACGCGGCGTCGCGTCCTGAGGCTCAGGGAGCAACAAACACATCAACAACCGCATCTCCTCGGCCCTTAATCTAGGCCTGCAACCGGAGTTCTATTGGCCATTGATTGAGCAAGAGCTCTCGTTCCGAATGTTGTGCCATGTCTGAATTATTTATTGGCCATGTAGTCACTCTGACCGACGGTCGGCAGGCCACCGTCCGGTTTATTGGCACTACGCATTTTGCTGCCGGCGATTGGGTCGGTATTGAGCTGGATGAACCTACAGGGAAAAACGATGGCGCCGTTCAAGGAGAACGATATTTTGACTGTGAACCGGGCTATGGAATGTTTATACGGCCATCTGCTGTTGCCGCTATCGTTGAACAGCCTGTGCGGGAGACGAAACAACCTCCCAGGGGCGGCGCCAGTGCTCCAGCGAACAGAGGACGAGCGCAGACTGGTTCTACAACAAGCGGGATTGCCATGAAAAGACCCAGCGCTTTGCCTGCGAACAATGTCAAAAGACATAGCGTCAGTGCTGCGAGCCCGTCGCCAACTTCGCGGTCCGCATCTCAGCGGACGTCTAGGGTAAATTGGTCCATGCTTGCCAATGTTCTAGTGACTGCTAACATGTCGCAGGTGCAGTCGCCGCTAAAATCGCCGATCAAGTCTCCATCGACCCCCGCCGGTCCTGTTTCCTCGACTCGTTCGTCCATCAGTGGCCCATCGCGGCCGTCCGCAGTAAAAGCCCGCCCTCCGTCCGGACCAAAGACGTCGATGGGCCCTCCTCCGCCTCCCTCTGCCGCCGCTCGCCAATCTCGATCGTCTATATCAGGACCAGCCAGCAAGGCGGCCAGACCAAGTCTTCAAAGTGGACCAACATCTTCAGGACAGTTGAAGCGGCCTGCACTGCGCCCAACCGCTCCCAACAAGTCATCGGAGGAGACAGAAAGCCACACGAGTGCATATTCGGAGGATCCTGAGATAGATCCTAGAGATGCTGAGCCTGACATGGACGGAAACGAGGCTCCTACCCGCAAGACATCTGAAAAGGGACCAAGCTCGGCGCGCCCGGCCGGCGGCCGCCCTAGCCTCACGTCTTCCTCGCAACGGCAAGCACAAAACAATTCTGCCGCAGTCGCGAGGGAGCTTGATGAGATGAAGACAAAGCTCAGGGTCATGGAGAAGAAACGAGCGGAGGACCGAGAAAAGCTTAAAACTCTAGAGAAACTACAGTCAGAGAGGGATAAGTTCGAAGCCATCATCCAGAAGCTGCAAGCAAAGTACCAGCCGCAACAGCTTGAGATTGGAGAATTGCGCAAGAAACTAAAAGACACTGAGGCCAAGCTTGAGGAGGTTGAGCGTCTCCAAGCGGAGCATGAATCGATCCTGGAAATGGCAGCATTGGACCGTGAAATGGCCGAAGAGACAGCTGATGCGTTCAAGCACGAGTGTGCCGTGTTAAGGACGAGAGTTGAGGAGCTTGAACTCGAGCTGGATGTCCTAAGGGAGGAGAACGAGGAGCTGGGCCAGGTCATGACTCCTGAAGAGAAATCCAGCCATGGATGGCTCCAAATGGAAAAGACAAATGAGCGCCTCCGCGAAGCTTTGATTCGACTCCGGGACATGACCCAACAGCAGGAATCGGAGCTACGAGATCAGATCAAGGAACTCCAGCAGGATTTGGAGGATTATGCTGCGATTAAATCCCAGTACGAAGCAACGAAAGAGAAGCTGCTTGTATCTGAGAATAATGTCGAAGATCTCAAGCAGCAGCTGGAAACAGCACTCGGGGCTGAAGAGATGATAGAAGAGCTCGCGGACAAGAACATGCGATACCAGGAAGAGATCAACGAGCTCAAAGCTGCTATCGAAGACTTGGAGGCGTTGAAAGAGATCAACGATGAGCTTGAATACAACCACATCGAAACAGAAAAGCAACTGCAGGAAGAGATTGATTATCGAGAAAGCCTGTTCAACGAACAATGCCGAAAGATCTCTCAGCAAGATGAAGTCATTGAAGATCTAGAATACACTCTGGTCCGCTTTCGGGAGCTGGTCTCTACTTTACAAGGGGACCTGGAGGATATGCGAGCATCTCAGCAGATTTCAGAAGCCGAGGCGAACGATCTTACGACGCGGTCGCGAGCCATGATAGACTTGAATATGAAACTACAGGCGTCGATGGCCAAGACGCAGACAAAGACAATCGATATCGAACTAAACCGTATGAACGCAGAGGAAGCTATACAGCATCTATCCATTCTCAAACTTTATTTGCCGGACTATTTTGACGGAGAGCGAGACTCAGTACTCGCCCTTTTGCGCTTCAAGCGGGTCAGCTTCAAGGCCTCTCTGATGAACAACACCATACGTGAAAACATCTCTGAACAAGCTTCGATAGCGACAGCTCTCGATGACATATTCGTGGCCTACGACGTGCTTGAAAAGCTCATGTATATCTCGTCTCTGAGCGACCGGTTTGTCAACTATATCACAAGCTGCTCCGCGGAAAATTTCGAGAGCATCAAAGGAGCGTTGTTCGAGATGGAGCCAGTGGAGCGCACGTTGAATTTCTGGATGGAAGGCTTGAAGAAAAACGAACTGAACCTCAGAAAGTGCGCCGTGGAACTCCAAAGATCCATCGCTCTGCTTTCTCATCTAGCAGAGACCCTCCTTCCTACATCCCTCGAGGCTTTTGCGGATGAACTCTGCATGCGCTCATCGTTGACGCAGTCTTATATCGATCATACTGCAACTTGCATGGCACGTTTGAAGACATTGCTGCAGTCGAAGATTACGGTTCCAGAGGAAGGTGATGAGGAGTGCTCTTTGCTCTTCACCAAAGCGGATGGGTTCGTGTCCCAAGCTCGGGGGTTGAAAGTTGCCCTGGGCAAGGTTTGTCGTACGCTCGAAGACCTCAGATCGCGATCACTGTCTCTATCACGAGACGTTGCCGGCCCCTTCAAGAGCGCCGAAGAAGCTGCCAAGGAGCTCTCTGCTTTGGCACGTCAGCTTGGGGAGAACTTGGCGATTCTCATTAGCGATGAGACTCGGATCAAACCCTTGACTATCGAAGAGGCATCGAAGACGATGTCAGAAACCTCCACAGCTTATTGTCTACCGTCTGAAGGATCCGAAAACAATGACACCATGTCCCTACTCCATAGTCGATTACGTACTCTGAGTGGCCTCCTCGAGGAGCTGGACGCGGTCTCGTCCGATCTATCCATCACCACAGAGTTTGAGAGGCGCCCTGCCCCATGGATTGCAAGAGCTGCGGAGCTCAGGTCGAATAAGACAAACTCTCCAGACGCCGATGAGGAAATACGAAGGCTCAAGAACGAGATACATGAAGCGTCGACAGCGCTGGGGGTCAAGGACAAAACAATTGAGGAGCAAGCTCTTCGAGTAGAACTGGTAGAATCGAGAATGCGTGAGGCCACCAAGAAAGCATCCATGGTCAAGGACCTTGAAAGCAAGATCGAGGAGATGCAGGTGAAGCAAGCGGACCTTGAAGGGGTTATTGAGACACAACGCAAGGACCTGCAAGCCTTGGAAGCGGAGCGAGAGGAACTCAAGAATCGTCTTGAGCGGGTCAAACGACTCTCCGGTACAACAGGAGTCGGAACCACAACGGACGGTGTTGTCATCGATAACAGTCTCTCCTTGGCGGCCATGCGCGAGAACGAGGCTCTTCGCGCAGAAGTCGCCAGCCTACAAGCGGCTGTCCGCTTCCTTCGCGAAGAAAACCGACGCTCGAACATGCTCGACCCGTACTCGGTGCAACGGGCGGCGGATATGCACTCATGGCTCGACTTGCCGCTTACCAAACCACCCTCCGGCGCTCTGCATGACAAGGTCCAACAGACTGCATCCGAAAGCAGGGACGTCTTTGCTCATCTTCTCAAGCTGACGAAAGAATCCAACGTCCGCGATCTCAAGTCTACCATGTCCCAGAACAATGGCAACCGTGTCGGCTGGCGCCCATCGAAAGTCAAGCTCCGCTACCAGGTGCTACAACAGCGTGAGAACTACGAGCGCTGGGCAGAATGGAAAGATGACATCGTCCGCCACGAGCGGGAGCAGGATAGGTTGGCCGCCGCGAAGAAAGAGAGAATCTCTCGCGAACGCGCTCAGAAACATGCGTCGCGGAACTCGGTCTTTGGTGATTTCCCCAAGGGTCTGGGGCATGGCATGATGGGTGCCGCCTGGCAGATACTGGGCATGGAACATGGTGATCCCAAAGCGTTTGACCAGCCGATCGAGACTTCTCTGGCGCCTTCTTATTAACGTCTTTCATCTTTCAAGACTCTGCACTGAAGGATCCTTGTCTGTGGATGCGGACATCATCTTCTACAAAGTCTCTATAAGCGTTTCTCCCATTTTAAGTATCTCAACTACGTTTTGGACTTTCTTGGTTCTTGGTATACTAGCGTTAAATGCCACTTCCACAACTAGTTGATGACTCGCCAGATACCCCTTTCCAGATTCTACTTTATCCGACCACATCTCAGCGCATTCCTTTCAAAATCAGAATTATAGTTTGCCTTTGAGAACAGCTTCGCGTCACTTTCGCATATCGTTGCAATGATCATACCCCTAGCTGTCCACTGCTTCATGGTTACAACTCGTATATTTCAAGGCGTCCACATGTATACAAAGACGTCCCAAGTCAATATTTATTACCTAGCGTAAATGAAACCCAAAACTGACGCTCAACAGTAAAATGTGCCGATGCTCGAGGGATAAGACATGAGGCGAAACAGATAAATGTACAACTCCAGCTCGGTATACATCTAAGTAAAAAGGCAAATGCAAACCGAAAATAGACAAGATCAAGCTCAGTTTGTTGTCATGAAAAAGTAGCAGATGAGTAAGGTTGATCGGAAATGGGGTCAGGTGAACAAGATCATCACACTAATCATGAAGATGGCGTTGGCGGTCCGTGAATCCCAAGGTATGTAGCAGATCTCTTCCACAACATCGCTCAAAGAAGAAACGTGTATTAGATAAATGAAGAATCTTTATACAATATCGGAATTGAAAGTGCTCCATCGTTTTCTCTGTCAACTGTCCATCCTTAGTGGATGAGGCGATGCGAAGATCATAGGGCGCCAGCAAGAATTGCCTCGGTGGCTATAGATTGGTAAAGTTAGCATAACGCACGCAATAGGGGGATTGGAAATGTATGGCCCTTACCTGAGTTGATATAAGGACGCTTGAGGTCCAGATTGACGCCGAAGCGCCTCTCCAGTTCCAATTTGATGCTCTTCTTTGTCACGGACATCAGATCGGCTGTCCGCAAAATTTCGCGGATCTCAGCGAGAATGGCATCGTCGCTTGGCAAGTGGGACAGATTCTCCATTTCCATGTCCGCGTGTCGGCTCATCATTTCTGATGGCGCCAAAGACATCCGGGATCCGAAGCGAGGTAGGTCCAGCTGTGACATGGGTCGCGAGCCTGGGAACCCATACTCAGACTGAGCGGGATGGTAAGACTTGGTGCCATAAGAGATACCAGAAACTTCAGATCGGTCATCTCGTGAAGTCTGAGCCTCCCACAACTCTGTCTGATACTCTTCCCACTTCTTCTTCGGGATCGAGGCGGGATCGAACTTTCCTTCATCAGAGATAACGACCTTGCGGCCTTTCTCTCCTGTTATGATACGTGTGTTACCCCAGCTAAAGTCGTCCATGTGCCAGAAAGAGTAGAGGGGCAAGGCGAGGGAGAAGACAGGTAGCGCAAGGAGGTACACGATCATCCATCCAACCATTTCCCACTTCCGACGAATAATGAAGATAAGAGCCTGTAAGCCATATATGGCGGCAAGTAGAATTAATGAAGTGTAGGGGATTGTCGATGTGTCCTTGGCCAGCCAGTAGATAAGGTAGATGATGTAGGCAAGAGTGACAGGTTGAATCACAGTACTGAGCAAATCAACGAACACGACGAATCTCATACTGAAGCAACAGAATCCACAAAGCTGTTGCATTGGGATCAGCTCGATAAGGTTATGGACAGTGGAGTTGATCCACCGACGACGTTGTGAAAGGAAGACTGTCCAACTTTCAGGCGCAATGGTCCAGGCCCTGGCGCTCGAGATGTACTTGGTCTTGTACTTGGAGTGATGCTTGAGGAGAAGTGTGGTCAGGTACCGATCCTCACCCAGATGAAGCAGATTCTTCATGTGAAGTGTATCAACACGAATCTCAGCGTAAGCGTCGACGACCTCCTTGCTGACGAACAATGGCTTGGCGGTCTCTGCAGAGCGAATCCGATACATCGTGAAACATCCAGGCAAACACGTGACGGACCCGAAAAGACTCTCGAAAGCTTTCGTCAGGTTGTGAGATATGTAGTACTCATAAACTTGAATCATAGTCACCGCAGAAGTTTTAGCATTGGTCAGCGCAGTTTCACCACAGACACCAATAAGACGAGTATCATTTAAGAACGTAGCCACCATCCGTGTTGCTGAATCAGGAGCGACGACTGTATCAGCATCGACCTGCAAGATAAACTCGTAGAACGTGGGGTTGACACCAATGACGTTGCGGATCTGATGGTGCATCTCAAGTTCCATAGGGCTCATGGGATGGTTGTAGTGGACACGGTTCAGGAATCTCATCAGGACCATCTGGGAGTCACGTTTGCCTCGATTACCGGGGCGCGAAACCTCCGAGGGCTTTCCGACCTTGACAATCACAAGGAAAGGGACAATGTGACCCTGGACTTCGTACAGACCCGAGTAGACTTTGCCCATGTTGTGCTGTTTCTGACCTTCTCCCAAACTCTCAAAGCTGAGGGGTTCAGGGTCCACTGACTCCGGAACCCCTAAGATATCGAGGACAATCCTGGGCGTGGGACGATCGTTACCCTGACCAATAATCATACCGTCACAGATAACGACAAGAAGCTTGCGCTTGTCGTCGTACCGCATGCGTGCCATAGAATCAATGGCACGGCGAAGAGAATCCTCGTCTTCTGTGTAGGCGGGGACTTGACAGATGATGAACTTATCCAAATTCTCGGGCACGTTCTTCCTACCGAATTGTAGAGCCGCAAGGAACTTGAAGACGATAATGGAGCAAATCAGAATTGATATGGCCAAGATGAAGTACCGAGCAAACTCGCACTGAGCTGAGTTACGCGTGTCCACATGACCGACGAAGAAGAGGTTATCCAAACAAAGTTGCATCCGCTGACGCAGCGCCGAGTCGATCCTCAAATTTTCCCAGTGTTTTGACAAATCTTGGCCAGGAAGCGATTGAAAGAGCGACACAACAGTGTCGTCCATGAAATCGGTGTCAACATCCGAAGGGACCGTCTCGCCGGGAGGCGCTTTCGTCAGCCGACCACCAGCGATGTAGCTGGTCAAATCATAAACCTTGCCATTGATGCTGCCGATAGACTGTGACTTTTTACCGAGCGTGTTCAAATATTTTGGCGTATAGCCAACATAACCTTTGAGGTAATTTGCTTTGAGCATCATCATTTGTTCATAGAACCAGTCAGGACGGGAGTCGTTGGTGAAGTGCCGGAAGTCATGGTATACGGAGTTGGTGTCTGTGCCACTGATCGTAGTTGCTGATCCCGAGATATTGGTCGGTCTGTAATCTAATAGAACCGTGGGGTCAACGCTTCCCGACTTGCCCTGACAGAGTGCAGACACTTGCACCGGAAAGAGACCGGTAGCATCGACACCCGCGTACTTTTTCAACGCCGATTCGGGCACAATATCCGGATAGTGGCCTGGCATGAATTTGTCCAAGTCGAAAACGACGCCGCGAATGGCAATGAATGAACTATGTCCGTCCTTGCCATTGTGCGAAGATAATTCCGCTGCAGAGTAGACGTGTTGCGTGGGACAAACCAGCCCAGGAAAGGCGACGATAAAGAAGATGGCGACCCCACAACTGAACCAAATGATCAGATTGATGGCGAACTTTTCACGCCAGGCCATTCGCACATCTTTGCGCTTCATCCGGCCAAAGAGTTTAATCGCGAGGTCCGGGATGTAGAATGTGAGAAGGTAAACGAGCGCTATCCAACGCTTGCGACTACCAGAGATGGGCGCATCATCGACTTCTTCCATTTTCTTCTCATTTCCCTTCTCGAGCATCTGCTCTCGCGTTTCATGGTTTCGAAACATATCCCCGGAATTGAAGGCAGAATTACCGGCATCGGAGCGTCCATCAAGATCACGGCTGCCGAAGTAACCCTGTTTCGCCTCGTCACCATAGATGAACGCTCCAGGGGACTGATCGGCTGGGTTGAGAAGTCGGACTTTGGAATCCCCGTAGCCAGTGCTACGAGGGTGGAGCAAACCATCACCTCCTTCATCCGACATATCAGCAGCATACACAGGAACAACACGCTCTCCGACTTTTGCTAGATCGGCCCAGCATCTCTCGCTCAAGAACACACCAGTGCTGCCGACTCTAGCCTCATTGCCCGGCCAACGCTTCTCATCAAGGACGACTTCCGCTTTCTCTTTATCACTGCCAACGACGATGTTGCCAATTTCCGCCAGACCAAGAAACTCAGCGAACGGAAGAAAAACGCTGAAGTCCGCGTTCCGTAGCCGTTGACTAATTTCAGCAATGCCGAACATCTGTACCTGTGCTCGCACGCATTTGCTGTCAAACTGATTTGCAATGCGCCGGTCGTTCGGCTTCAGGCAGAAAATGAAGTAGGGGTTCAGGTTCGTGGAGCTCAGGCATTTATTAACAATGTCCAGCGAGGAAAGAAATTGACCAGCGGCACCTTGTATGCCACTAGTGAGCATAGCGCTTTTCCGTCTGCCGGAAGATGAATCCTTTGCGATGCTCTCTGCTTGACTCTCAACCTCATCTGCATCTCCCGCATCGAAGGCCAGCCGTGAAGATGGGCTTGTCTTTCGTCGAGCCATACTAGGCATACGCAGGGGCTTTGAGCTAACTTGTGCTTGCATGATAGCCGTTTTCTCCTTAGGATGCGTGACTGTTTGCAAGGCCGCCTGTCCGAAGAGTTCCCTGACGAAGTCGCTTTTAGTGGATTTCATCAGCCTCATAAGGTCGCCGGAGATAAACTCTCCATTCTCCTCAATTAGGCCGCTGACAGAATAATCGACTTCACCGGCAAAGTGCTTTACGGTGAAAGCGGAACGAGCATTTTGTGAGATCAAGCTGGTCCTCTTCGAGCCCTCCACAACGATAGTAGGGTTTTTGTTCTCAAACCGTCTCCTCAGAGATTCTAGTAATTGATTGTCGGTCCGCCCGCGCCTCGTTTGATCGTCAAGGATACTGAGTAGCCCATTGCCATGCTTCAACAAGCCGCGGACAGCATCAGTATTATCAAAGTAGCTTGTTGCGGGCACCGAAACCTCTTCCCGCTCCAACTCGTCTGCCTTTCGATCGAAGAATGACTGCAGGCAGAAGTTGTACAACAATTCAGTCGCTGCATTGTTGAGAAGTTGATCCAGAGTAGAACCAGTGGCGCAGGCCTGGGCAAAACCAGGGAAGTCGACAATCGAAATCGTGTTCGCAACGCTATCCTCCGCTGCGCAGATCCGCTGGTTGGCGGCTTCAATCACGTAGGCGACAAGAAGGGAATATATGGTTCGTGCAAGCTCATCGGCATTTTGTCGGGCCCCTTTGGGATCCAGCATGACCGTTACTCGTTCCCGGTGGATGGTCTTAGTCCGGTAGCCGAAGCTATTTTCGAGATCTTCAACCGACAGACCCAGGAATGCAGCGACGATAGACAGCACATCTTTGTTCTTCACAATAGTGACTGTCTCGCCGCCCTCATGTGAATATCCACCACTTTCTTCCGCATGAGTGGTTGTGGCTTGCCCACTGGCAAACTCCAACTGTCCAATATGGAGAATAGTAGCAAGGATCTGACAAATTTCGGCGATCTCGCTGCGCGGGAATTCCAATTTTCTTAAAGCTGTCTTGAAATGCTGGAAACCCTCCACATCATTGACACCCACTTTCAGTTGAGTCGGGTGGCCGAGGTACCTCCACCTCTTATGGCCAACGGCGCCTGAAGAGGTCGATACGTGGACGGTTTTGTCGAAGCCTAAGTGAGCCTTCTCAGCTGCACTAGTCCCAGCTAGAAGATAGTACAGCACGTGGAAACTTCGCTCTCCGGTCGGTACAGAGGTGATCCGACTCCGTTCAAGTCTATGGTCAATGATCTTTCCGCCAATGAGAGTTGGGTTGACAGAAGACGAGCCATCATATTGCAGTTCCAAGAAGAGTCCAGCTTTTGAGGCTGTCTGTGTGGTCAAGGATTTCGTGGTTGTCAGGGTATCGAAGAGAAACGCCGCGTAAGATAGCTTTGACGACAATGGGGTCGAGGAGAACGAAAGGAATGCGGACAACAAGTGGGAGCGAATTGTCGTCTTTCCAGATCCGCTCTCGCCACTAAATGAGCAGAGTCAGATATGATCACTCTATCAAGATCAGCAAGAAGCTTACAGGAAAACAACGGCCTGATTTTCTCCCCTAGCGCCGAGACGTGTAAAGGCACGTCTGGCCAGGTCCTCCGCCTCTCCCATTGCACTGCCCTCTTTGCCGCCATCAGGACCTTTAGTCGATGTCGTATATGTGTTTAGACTGATCAGGGCCTGAGATGAGAGTCGGGCCGTTGGTAATCCGACGTGGAAACTGAATGATGCGGCACGGATGTTAGTACTGTATCAACCCCTCCTGATCATCAAGATAGGGAGAAGGGGGAGACTGTACCGGCTAGCTAAATGGGCTGTCAGGTGCGTGTCTGATTGCAAATGTGCTGGTAATGACGGTAAAGACGACTGCGCATGAGACGGAGCGCCACCTGCTGGTGACTGCGCAGCCATTATGTGGATGGTGCCGAGTCCCGACAACGGAGGTGCTTCAAATGTGAAAACGAATAATGATCAACAGACTCTGACTTTTCGCTGAACGAATTCAATCGAATGAAACAAGAAATAAATGATTCGACAGAGATTAAATGAGCCTCAAGCCCGGTTGATCCGTCTCGCCCACGCTCAGGCTGGTAATGAGAAATGGTGATCGCGAAGTATTCGAAGACGAAGAATGTTGGAAACTTGTCCAAAAAAAGCTCCTAGCACCAGCAGATAGCTGAGCACATTGCTTGTGCAGATGGCAAATGCAACCTGTTCAGCAGAACCGAAATCAACTTGCACGAAGGGAAGAACGACAGTGGATGTAAGCGATCGTCGTTTGACTATGAGGTTTTTGAGGAGAAGCGACCGTGTGTAGAGTGTTGAAAACGACTCGGAAGCGAGGGGCACAAATACTCCCAATTATGGAGTGTATTATTATTATGATGGAAGAAATGGAGAAAATCAAAGTAGCAGAGAGATGACAAGCTGAGAAAGAGACTGGCAAAAAAAGCAGCAATGAGTCTCTGTACGGAGTAGCAATGCCTCTCAGTCCACCATGTCCTGTCTGGGGTCACCGCCCAGCGAGGATAAAAAGAGGTGGTGCTGTGGTAGGTACATGTGCTGTATTGTTGATTTACCTGTTTGGGATTGGTGGTTTCTATTCTTATGCTGCTGGATTGAGAAATACAATCTCAGTGTTTCTACTCTATGCGGAAGGGACCGAAAATTACGCTTAAAAAAAAATCTCGGTCTGTCACAAGGCGGTTTCTACTTTTAGTATTAACGCTCCCCCAAGCGAGGACCATCGCGTCTTTTCAGGATCTCATGGACATGGTCGGGTCGACTATCGATAACACCTAATCGAAATAGGGGATGTGGAAATTCCTCGGGACGGCCGAACCGGCAGGGACTGTTAGGGACTTTTGAGGGTCCTCCTTGACATACCGTACAGTGCAGTGCTGTCGGCACTCCGTACGTAAGGTATCAATGAATAGAAAACTATCCACTTCTAATCAATAGCATTAAAATCCTGCTCAATCACCAACGCCACCGATGAAGAAAGAACTGCTAGAGACTAGGGCCTAGGGGCTCAGGGGCTCTCCTTACCTTGGTTGATTTCAACTCATGATAGTGTCTAAACTCCAAGTCTCGCCTGTTTGATGGATATATGGAGTGAAGAAAGGTGGCCTTTATAGTGAGTGCGCGTACGGAGTAGAATCCTCTGGTTGATACTCATGAATTAAATGATTTTCAGAAACTTGAGACAGACCAAGGACTTCAGAAGGTGAATGAAATTTTTCTTGGAAGCTCGAAATATTTCACAATGAAGATACCTGCTAGATACATACCTTACTAAGTACGGAGTAGAGTGGATCAATGATACGATCTGGCAAACTAAAACAGGGAAAGCGTCATACAAGGAATTCTTTACAGCCAGAATCCCCTTCATTGTTAATACGGATACTACCTACGATTAGGATAGAAGGTGGTGGAAGTTGCTACTTCTCCTTCAAGTTTTCTACCAGTTTTCGAATCCACTTCTGCGTCCAAGTACAGAACCTGAGAATAAAGAAAGGTTAGACATGCAGAGCCTGTACAGCAACACGACTTAAAATAACAATCCGGTGGGGACTTCCAATGCAGGCATCACACTGCATGACTCTTCCATAACATATGACAGATGATTGTTAAGAGAAAACGATCAGCGATCAACGATCAACGATCGAATCATGGCTTGGTGAGCAGAAAATCTTGTTCAAGGTGGCTATTTGATCAGTCTCGATTGGTGTGTTTACTGAGACAAGTGTGGCCTCACCGGCACCAGTATTCAACCAGAATACAGTGCTTCTGTGCTAAAGACTTGCACTGTATAGGCTATCCACTTATGGATGAATAACCAACGCAGCCCAGGTGAGACGAGGATGCCAATTATAGAATTTAGGTCGGGGATCTAGTTGTTTCTACAGCTCTCATTGGCTTTTCGATACGCTCGGTCACTGTGGTACTGGTACGCCACCTGACATGGTTGAAAGTCGTGGGTTTTGTCTCAGAAAAAAAGCCTCTCGGTTATCTCACCTCCTGAAACCCAAAGTCTGGTACTGTCCCTTCCCAGACCATGGATGGATTATGGTTGGTCGAGATATGGAGTAGCTACTTGCTTTCGAAGGTGTTCTATGGATATTAAGCAACAGAGCGGATTGATCATCCGCATATTACTTAAGAATGCGTATTAAATAAAGGGATGCGCATTTTGATATCAGAAAGGGAGCCAGAGAGTACAAAATTAGGCCCAGGTCGAGTCTAGACAAAATTTGAAAATATCTATCAGCTGTAACTGGTCCGTTAGACTTTGGCTAGTGGTTTGCTAGTATCAACTATAGTGCTTCGCCTGATTTCCATGGCGATATTGCCCGGTCCCTTCTGGCTGTTATCGCCAATACAACGAGACATTGGTAGGTTACCTGCGCAATCTCGGCAGAGTAATTTTCAATACGTCCCCTTCACCACCGAACCCGAACCCCGGATACCTAATACAGCTAGCTGATCCTACCGTGCCAAAGGTAAGTTAGCACAACAACAGATTGACGGAACTGGACTGACACTGTGAGACTGGACAGCATCACCAGCAACTTTCTTCTCTCCCCTTCCATCCTGTCGATACTGCTGTCTTTCAACTTGTTTCTACTTGTCTTCTGTTCATTCTCGAGTCTTATCAGCTGTCGATCTGTATCGACGCAATTTTTTTGCGTTTGTTTATTCCTCCTTTGTTGAACTTGCCCTCAACTGTCCCTCGCTTTCCGCTGTTCTCTTAATCGATAATTGCCATTTTCCGGGTTTTCGCCGTCTCAACAGTCGCTACACGCCATATTCTCACCTATCCCACGCTTAATCTCTCGCTTTGAATGTGAAGAGTACCATCATCACAAATCGTTCGGCCTGTGGAAGTCCGTCCCGTTCCATTCGTTCAGCGACAAGATTGCCAATCAAGACGTCAGATTTCGACAACTTCACTCGGCACCAAGGGAAGAGAATCTCGCTGTATCTTGGGTCTCTATCATTAGGAGAATTTCCATAGATGCTCATGTTCTGAACAATACATCTGCGATCGTTGCACCAGCCTTTTCGGGTTTTTAACCCGCGGAGTTCTCAGCTACCACGCCTGACTCAATTACAGTGCCGTCTTACGGTCAAATAAGTCATCATGTCAAACAGATTCTCTGTCTATTCCAGTCATTCAGCTGGCTTTTCCACGAGTGGTCCACGATCAGCACCCCAAACCACCCAGGTGTCCACAACGACCTTGCTGAATGCACTTCATGCGTTCTACAATTCCGGTCAATCTTACCAGCTAGACGCAGCGACAAGCTTGGTTGTGAATAGTTGGGCTACCGCCAGGCACACTACTCCCGATGGCCGGACTGGTGGCACCATAGATCGAGAATTAGCCATCCGAGCATGGGAACATGCTCGAAGGAGGGCGGAGGATGGATGTATCGTCCTATGGTTCGAATGACACCCCCTTTCTAGTATATCTCAACGCCGTATGGGTGATCGCTAACCTTTTTCCAGCTCGGCTCACCAATCGACACCCTCCCTCTTCGAACCATTCCTTGCCGCCTTACCCTTGCCAACACCCAGCATAGCCTTCACCGCACTTGCCGCACTCAGACCGTTCCTGTCCGCGGTTACAGCATTCAACCCTTCGTATTCTCTGTACTCTGCCCTTGCGGCTTCTTACACCTTCACGCTACAAGGAAACCTCGTCGGATTGAGCTTTGCACTGTCGACTTCGGGCATCAACGTGCGAAAGGGACTCTTGGATATTTCCGCGGAACCGGGATACCGTGCCTTTGACGTGTTCTACTATCTTGTGACATCCGCATCAACGCCTGCGGAGCGGGAATTCTTAGCCCTGAAGGATCCTTCTGCGTACACATTACTCAACAAGTCAGGTACCTATTCACCTCCATCATATCTCCCGACTGCCGACGATGCTGCGGCGGCAGAGGATTTTAGGGCAGCGTTGAAGGCCATTGGTATCAAAGGCGCCTCACAGCGCGGTTTACTCTCCATTCTTGCAGGCGTACTCAAGCTCGGTAATGCGGCTGGCTTCCTGGTCGATCAGGAGGAGCTCGAGGAAGTATGCGAAGACGTTGGGGGACTGCTGGGATTAGATCCGGAGGTGCTTCTTCACAAGTGTTCCACTGAAGATCGCGAGGTGTTGATCGCGGGCATCTATGAGGCACTGGTTGACTGGGTCATCGTGAAGGCCAACGAAACTATTGCGAATGAGCTCCGGACAAACCAGGAAGGTGATTCTGGAAGCGGATCAGCCGGCCAGTGGTCAGACGAGGACACCGTGGGTATCACGGTTGTGGATATCCCAAGGCCTGCCTTTGGTAAAGCTGTGGCATTGAGAGGAGTCTTTGATGATACCCTTGGTATCAATGCAGAGATGAAGGAGGATGGCGTCCAGATTCCTCCCGTCGGACACTCTGTGTTCACTGACTTGAACAATTCCGTAGCGCAGGTCGAGCCAGATTTGGGAATTACCACTGGTCCCGCCTGGCGTGAACGGGAATATGAGCTCGACAAGAGGCAGGAAGTTCTGGAAAAAGTCGGGTTAGAGGTTGATATGGACTCGTTCCTGCGGCAGTTACTGTTTCCCGTGGAAGCTGAAGGGATCACTGTCGGCAAGAGAGGGCGGTTTGATCTCATGACTACCCTGGGTAGCAGTCGAGTCTGGCACCACATCTCGATCCATCCAACCGATGATACCCCTGACTCCTTGAACGCTGCCTCGCCCACCACCGCCTGGTCTGCAGGTGCCGTTTCTCGCCAAATACGTGAGTGGAGGCTTGCCGAATGGGCCAATCGGCGTCTGAAGCAGATGGATTTTACGGCCGACTTTGACGTGGAGGAGTTTGTCAGCCGGTATTCGCGATTGGGCTGTAGAGAAGGAAGGGACGGTGTGGAGAGCTGGTTGATGGAAAGAGGCTGGACCAACGGCGACGCCTTTGTCGGCCATCAACGAATCTGGATGCGAGAGAACGCATGGTGGGAGGCGGAGACAATGCTCGATCTCAAGCCGGATGAAACACCCGGAGCAAACTCGTACATGTACGGCAGTGGCATGCTTGACACTGGCGTGCCACAGTACGCGGCGAATCCCATGGCGGAGTCCGCCAGCCTCTTGGGCAGTCGGGATAATCTCCTACAGAGACAAAGCATGCTGGCACCCAGTGTCGCAGGGGTAGCGAAATCCGTCGCTCCTAGTATGCCGAACACCTTGAACATGGCTGGTGACTATGGTCTCGGAACCAAGGGTGACACCAAAAAGTGGGAGAACCGACTTTACGACGGCGACTTCACTGGCGAACTTGATCCCGAGTTTGGTAGTCCCAAGCATATCGAGAAGAAGGAAATCACTTTCGGTCGGCGCGTCTGGTCAGGGTTTGTCTGGGCCTTGACCTTCTGGATCCCATCCTTTGTCCTTCGCTACATTGGCCGCATGAAACGTCCCGATGTGCGGATGGCCTGGAGGGAGAAACTGGTTCTCGTCCTCCTCATCCTTCTCTTCAATGCCATTGTGTGTTTCTATATCATGGCGTTTGGTGACCTGCTCTGCCCGAACAAGGATAAAGTCTGGAACTCCAAGGAAGTTGGATATCACCAAGGTGACGACGATTTCTATGTCAGCATCCACGGTAAAGTGTATGATATCAGCAAATTCTGGAAGCTTCAGCACAGTGACAACAATATCGACGTGACTGCGTCGACCATGGAGCCCTTTCGAGGCCAGAACCTGGATGCCTACTTTCCTCCCCCCTTGACTCGATTCTGTTCGCCAATGGTGACGGATCAGTCAATCAAGATCGCCTATAACGACACGACTGCTGACATGTATTCCTATGCGAATCACAATTGTGGTCCCCTGAATTGGGCCTCAACCACCAAGCTACACGAGATCACCTGGTATGAGGATACCTTCCTCCCAAAGATCCGTGAATACTTCAAGGGAGATCTTGTCTGGACAAGAGGAACCGTTGCGACACAGGCCGACGATAGCCAGCGATACTGGGTTATTGTGAACAAAAACATCTATGACTTGACGGATTACTTTTACACATTGGATAGGATGAATAACCAAGACACCTACAACTTCCTGCCAAAGAGTGTCACAGATCTTTTCAAGAACTATCCAGGCACTGACGTGACCGACAAATGGGGAGATTCTGAAGACTTCAAGAAGTCTCAGATATGTCTCGACTATGTGTTCTACAAAGGGAAAGTGGATTTCCGCGATACCCCCCGGTGTACCGTCAATAACTGGATTCTGCTTGCCTTCACAATTCTCATATGCTGTGTTGTCCTTGTTAAATTCCTTGCGGCTCTACAGCTTGGGTCCAAACGTCGTCCAGCCCCACAAGATAAGTTTGTCATTTGTCTTGTGCCAGCATATACAGAAGGTGAAGATGCGCTTCGCAAAGGTCTCGACTCCTTGACAGCCCTACAATATGACAACAAAAGGAAACTCATCTTCGTCATATGCGATGGCATGATTGTCGGCGGCGGTAACGATCGACCAACCCCTAAGATCGTCCTGGACATCCTCGGCGTTGATCCTAAGATCGACCCCCCTGCGTTGCCGTTCAAGTCTATCGGACAAGGAAGTGATCAGCTCAATTATGGGAAGGTTTACTCTGGTCTTTACGAATACGAGGGCAATGTGGTTCCATATATTGTGGTCGTCAAAGTCGGTAAGGAGTCTGAACAAAACCGGCCGAAGCCCGGTAACAGGGGTAAGCGTGACTCGCAAATCCTTCTGCTCAACTTCCTGAACCGTGTACATCACCGTTCCCCGATGTCACCGATGGAGCTAGAGATGTTCCATCAGATCAACAACATCATCGGAGTCGACCCTGAACTCTATGAGTACTGTCTGATGGTGGACGCGGATACAAGTGTTCGAGAAGACTCACTCAATCGACTGGTTGCTGCTTGCGCGAATGATGCACGGATTGCCGGTATCTGCGGTGAGACGAGTCTTCAGAATGAGGAACGAAGCTGGTGGACAATGATTCAAGTCTACGAGTACTACATTTCGCATCACCTGGCCAAGGCTTTCGAGTCTTTGTTTGGAAGCGTGACATGTCTTCCGGGGTGGTAAGTGTGCCCGATCCGTGACTTCGGTCTCATCTCAATTTACTGACGCGCTGGTTAGTTTCTGCATGTATCGTCTACGAACGGCAGACAAGGGTCGACCTCTGATTATTTCAGACAAAGTCATTGAAGAATATGCGGACAACGATGTAGACACCCTGCACAAAAAGAATCTATTGTCTCTGGGTGAAGATCGTTTCCTCACCACTCTGATGACGAAGCACTTCCCGACTATGTCCTACAAGTTCATTCCGGATGCCTATGCCAGTACCGCCGCCCCGGAGACTTGGTCTGTCCTTCTCTCTCAGCGACGTCGGTGGATCAACTCGACGATTCACAATTTGGTTGAGCTTGCGGCTCTGAAGGACCTGTGTGGCTTCTGCTGTTTCAGCATGCGATTTGTGGTACTGGTTGACCTGATTGGAACCCTCATCCTTCCGGCGACCTGCGTCTACATAGGGTACCTGATCTACCGTGTCGCCAGTCACTCCGGCCCGATCCCATATATCTCCCTCGCTATCCTGGCAGGTGTGTACGGTCTCCAGGCCATCATTTTCATCGTCAAACGGCAGTGGCAGCATATTGGGTGGATGATTATCTACATCATGGCCTTCCCAATCTACAACTTTATCCTGCCATTGTATGCATTCTGGAAACAGGACGACTTCAGCTGGGGCAGTACCCGTATTGTCCTTGGAGAGAAGGGTACGAAGCGAGTTGTAGCAGTGGAGGATGAAGCATTCGATCCTCGGAGTATTCCCCTCCAACGCTGGGATGACTACGCCCTGGCGAACAACCTTCCGGGTCGTCGTGGCGACTATGGCGTCAGCCAGGAGAAGATGTACAGCCGCTACGGAGACGAGGCGGTCATGGAGATGGATGATCTTCATTCCAACTATTCCTCGGTGAAGCCGGCATCTACCATCCTTACCGGATTTCCCCACGGCCGGCACTCGAGTCCGTACATGCCACCGCAATCTCCAGCTCCATTTGGCGGAAACATTCCGGGCAACCGCAACTCGCATCTCTCTAGCTTTACCAGATATACCGACAACCCACACCAGCGGAATATGTCAGTGGGCAACCTCAGCCACTACCAGGATAGCCCTATGGGCATGAGTCGGCACAGCGTGGGACTTATGCAGAGTACGGACAACCTGCTGGGGGTAGCGCGCCAGAATTCACGCAGTCCCCTCGGCGGCGGCCTCAACTCGAGACCCGTTAGTGCGTTCGACTTCCGGACTGGTGGTACCGGACCGGATGAGGGCGCCATTACAGAAGCGATCCGCAGCTGTTTGGCAGAGGTGGACTTGGACACGGTGACTAAGAAACAAGGTCAGTTCCTTTCCCCATAAATTAATTCGTATTCTTCCCTAATAGCTTTTTAGTTCGTGCTTTGGTGGAACAACGGCTCCAGACGACGTTGACTGGCGACAAGAAGGCATTCCTCGACCGCCAGATTGACCAGGAGCTGGCGAACATGTGAGGTCGTTGTTTCATTATCTTTCCATCTTACTTACATTCTCAACAAAAATACTCTTCTATTTAATATGCACTGTACCACGGCAAGTGAAGCTATGTCGCAAATAACTTTTCGGTATGGCATGCATGGCGTTTTGGGGATTCTTTTTTCAAGCAGCAGCATATAGCCAGCGGTCATTACATATTTGGTGATGGGCTGTTAATACCAAGTCAATGCCTATAGTTTTTGCATTTATGTCTGTGGATCCATGTATGTATCGAAGAGAGAAGACATTCCATGCCTGTGAATAGAGAGTTTCTACATAGTCAGTCATGCCAATACACGGATTTGGAGAACATGCATCCAATCATCTTATCATCTCGGTCTTGTCGATTGCAGTCAATTCTAGTGTGGCACATGAGGTGGGGTAATCAACGCATTCAGTCTATACTTTGTTTTATCCTGCCATATCAAGTACACACACACACATCTATATATATATATAGCATTTACCAACACAGCCACTCCAACGTTTCAGACCTAGTTCTCCATCATCATCACCATCCCCCTACTCTCAGTAACCAACAATGTCCACTCAACCACCACCTCAACAACAACAACAATCACCCACCTCCTCACCAACCCCTCCCAACGCACCCTCGAAGCCAAAGCAGCCTTCACCGCCTCCCTCCGCTCCGCCGGCGCAAACTACGACGCCGAGCTGCGCGACCGCGCGCGCACGCTGCACGAGAACGCCGCCGCGCTAGACAAGCAGGAGGCGGAGCTGCGGCGGACGACGGCCGAGCTGGGCCGGCAGAATGAGCAGTGGGAGAAGGTGGCGGATACGGCGCGCGAGGGGCTCAAGGAGATTGGGGACGTGCAGAATTGGGCGGAGTTGATTGAGAGGGATTTGTTGGTTGTGGAGGAGATGTTGAGGGAGGTGGAGGCTAGGGAGGAAGGGGTGGGAGTGGAAGGGAGGACGAGGAGGAGGAGGGGCGGATGATGATGGATGGGAAGGGGAAGGGAAGAGGAACGGCAAGGGAGAGGAGGAGGGGAAGAGTGGGTGGTTGAGGTGGTGGTGATTCTTGAGTTCTGCTTCTCGGTTGAACATGAAATGAAGTACGTGCACTGCGGCCGTTAGGATGTCAATACCTGGTGACACCTCTTATGGGCAAGACAGACCATGAATTCCGTAGAAGAAAGTCAGCCTGGTAGATTGTGGGTTATTCTGAAGTGAAGGAGACATTTCCTTCATGAATGTGGAGGACGATATTTCGCCCTCATGGCCTTTCATGGCATATTATATACTTCACCAAATGAGCTATCCAAAAGAAACAACCACAACCTGTGGGTAGATTCTATACCTCAGTCTCTTCATCAGCCTCTGCTGTGTCTTCCTCTTCCTCCGCGCTCATTTCTCCCATCTCTTGGTAATAGTTCCTCCATACATCCAAGCGGTCGACCTCGATCCGGCTGCTTTCTTCGTCTTCCTCCTCACTGTCATACCCATATTCATCCCATTCATTCCATTGACCCAGAGTCATCAAATGCCGCATGGTTGGTCGTCCATGGGGACAATTCCATGGTTTGTCGATCGTCCCCATGTTCCTGACAACCCGGACCATCTGTGTCTGGGTCAAAGATTTACCGATCATAATGCTGGATCGGCATGCTCGCATCGCAAACATCTTGCGGACTTTACTCGGGCGCGGGATATGGGTCTGCACGGCAGACCCGCTGCTGCCGGTTGCTGGCATCTCGGACAGCAGAACTATGAGCTCTTCCAGATCCCGTACACCGAATACAACCTCCTTGCTCAGCGGCAAGGAGACTAGCTTGCAGCGCTGGCCGATTGGCTCGTTGCCGCTGTCGTCGACTTCGACGACAAATCCGTTCTTCTCCAGCGCAGATCGATTCTCGATTACAATCTCCTCCTCGACGGCGGTGAGGTCGAGTCGCTTGGGCTGGACAAGGCGCTGATTCTGTACCACTGTCTCGGCTTGAAGTCGCTCAAAATTGAACTTTTCGTCCGAAGCATGCTGGTCAATAATGAAAAGCTCATCCTTGGACTCAGCGGAACCATCATCCGACGACCGGGTCGCTAGGATAAACCCGAGGTTGAATTGCCCAATAATGCGCATCCTGGCGAAATCCTCCTTACTAACCGTCAGTGACAATCGTTCTTCTGCTGTGACAGTCGCAGCAGTCGCCGTGTCCTCCTGAGAATAGTCCACATCCCTCCTGTAGGAACGGAGGCTGTGCTGAACCCTTTTCATTTGGCTCTCAATCCCAGAGAGCGACCCGTCGATGGTGCTCATCAGACGTGTCGTAGAGTCGCGATGGCCAGCCCCTTTGTTCAGCTTGTTTGCACGGTGCATACTATTCTCCTGAGGCAACACTGCTTTTTCCTCTGCTTGTCGAATGAGCCGCTGCACCTCGGCTTCTTCGTGTTTCCTCTTCTCCTCATCATTCATCATCTCCGCAACTGTAGCTTCGGGCTCGTTGACCTCATCATCCGGCACCTCTGCGGAGCGATCATCCTCCTTATCGGACGGACAATATGATCGGGAGCTGTCTTCGGAATCGCTGTCCATGATCTCTTCATCTTCCGCTCTTCCGTCCTCCTCCTCCTCCTCAGCCTCAACGCTTCTAGCTTGCTCTATCTGCGATCCTGGAGCTGCAAAGGCCCTCATATGTTTGCCAAATATATTAGAACGAGACGGAGTGTGTATCCTCCTCTTGCGGTCTAATCCTCCACCGCTGGAACCAATTGATCCTCCTGTCCTTTTCCTAGGTATTCCGCTTCCTACCATGGACGTAACTGTCTTGTTGCCAATGGTGATGGTGGCAACTTCAGCGGGCATACGTCTGGGTCGCATTCGATCGAAGGCGTTCTGTATCACATTGGGTGTCTCCTCGAGTGGATCTGGTTGAGTTGAAGGGGTGTGTTGTCGAGAAAGCTCAGTACCGTCCTGAGGCGTAGACTGCTCTACGGCGTCCCTCGGTGACTCTTGTTCCTTGTCCGTCACCTTAGGACGTTGGGGAGTTTCACAGGATGGTGTGCCACCCTCTGAAACGACTAATTCATTATCAGCCGTCCTGTTCAAAGATTCAGCCCGACCGGCAGGGCTATTCGGCGCTGCAGTCGAGACCGGTTGTTCAGACTCCTCTCTGCGGAGAGGAGACGAGGATGGAGACCGTCGTTCCTTTTGTGAGCCAAGGTTGCTCAGAAAGCTTTTCAGCTTCGCCGTGGAGCTAGGCTGACTCGATTCCGTCTCTTTTTCATCAGCGGCATCTGGCTCTCCTCCTGCCATAGCTTCCTTCTCGCTTGAAACCCTGCGAGGAGTAACTGCCTGCAGTATCCCCAACTGCTGTTTCGGAGCAGGTTGCTTATAGCCAGCTATTTGAGATTGAGGGACAGTCTGATCAGTCGCTTCGAACATCTCCGTAAGGGACTGCTTGAGGGAATCGATCAACGCTCCTGCGTCATGCAGCAGAATTGTGCGTTTATCAGGGGACACATTCACATCATAGGCATTCGTGTCCATATGCAAGTCCGCAAAGACGAAGGGAGACTGCGACACATTGAAAGACTTGTAGACCTCATTGAAAGCCTTTGCAATTTGCGGCAGACCACAGGGCCGGGAGTTCACAAAGAACATCTGACGATCTGGCGTCTGCCTTCCTTCACCGAATACCGGACGAGAGATGTGCCCTTTGACCCGGATTATATGGAGCTCGCCTTCCGCTGTCCGCCTCCCCGCAGCGGATGGCTCAAATTCCAAGGTCAGGTCCAGCGGGATGAGCGCCAGTAGAGTTTTCGCGCCGTAGACATTGGCAATATTCTCCTTTGTGGTCTGGTTGCCATTCGTCGAGAAAACCACCACATTCCGATTCTTTCCCACCGTGTTCCGGACGCTGAAGCGTACCCCCGTGCTAATGCAAGCATAGGCATGGAGCAGATTCAAGACCTTCCCATACTCTCTTTTGATATTCTTTTCCAACTCCCGACGGCGGACGGGGAGTTTCTTGAACAAACCCTCCACCGAGGCTGTTGTGCCCTTTTGGCCCGCGACTACTTGGGTCTTCGACAGCTTCCCAGATGTTTCAAATTCGAGTTTAGTAGCCTTGGGGCTTGATTAGCTTGGGCTGTGATGATGCGAAAATCCGCTAGAGCGCATAAGGACGAGAGAGCTTCGCCTCGGAAGCCGAAGGTGTGTAGGCGGGACAGATCCTCGTAGGACGAGAGTTTCGACGTGTAATGCTTCAGAGCTACCGAAGGGTGAGCAAACACTTCACAGTCAGACCGGAATGTCTACCAAGGGAAAGCTTACCGACGTTCTCGTAGTTCTCCGGCGATATTCCACTTCCATTGTCTTGTACCTCGATCGAGTCCAGCCCATTGTTCTTGAAACGGACTTCTATGTCCAGGAAAGCAACAGCGTGTCAATATTCTATCGCAGGGCATATCTGTGATGGGTTTCCATGATCCTACCGATTGATGTTGCGCCAGCATCGAGACTGTTTTCCACTAATTCCTTCACAACGGAGCACAAATCGACAATCACCTGACCGGATTGAATCTGGTGAACCTGAGCGCCAAATAGGGAGATTAGCCAACCGGACGCTCCCACCAGGAACGAAGGACGTTAAGCATACCGAACGGGCCTCGATGGCCTTGATGGTCGCCATACTCATCCCATGGTGGCGCCAGTTAGAATGACGCGGGATTATACGCGTTCCTCGGCCACTTTACGCGGAAACTCTACGCGGATTTCGTTATCAGTGGCTGATAAGCTTTATCAATGTTTCCCTTCACGGTCTATCCGTGCGACTACAGAGATTCCAATTTTGACTACAGAGGCCATCTGACAAATTGATTATCTGACTATTCTCTTCTTGTATGTGACGCTCGAAGACGATCAACAAGGAAGCAATTCCTATACACATAATGAAAAACGAGTGAAATGAGGGTGCACCTCTGCTCAGACGCCAAACTCCCAAACGAAATCATCCAATCAGTGAATGAGGAAGCAACGCCCTTCAACCTAATAGATATCGAAACGATCGGGTAGAAGGACGGGGGCAATCAAGGTCCACAGGTAGATCGCATAGCACACCCAAGCGCTGATGATCTTCACCCAGCTAGCCCAGTATGTTCTGCCCACAGGCGCAAAGTCCTCTGTGGTCTCAGGATCCAGACGCTGGGTCAGTAGGGTAGCTACCCAAGTCGTAGCCAGGAAAAATATAATGTGGAAAAGGGAGTAGTTGTATTGCGTCGAGCCCCTCTCGTCATCCTGGGTATTATAGTCATCGGACTCATCGTCACTCTCGTCCAATGCACTAGCCGGCAAACTACCGCTCTCCACAGCAGCACGAAGAGCCTCGGCACGCATCTCACGGCGACTGGGCTGCTGAGTGACGAGACCATGTTCGTTGTCGTCTGTTTTCAACTGCGCGTACTGGCCATGGGCGGCTTGAGACCCTAACATAAGACTTTGGGTGGCGGCACGGGTCGTGGTATATGCGATAGTCGCCATGGTGACGATGGCACCCAGAACGACGGTGGCCGTTCGTGTGCCTCGGGCGCGGATCAGAGGGTTGCATTGGCGGTCATCAGGCTCCATCGAGACGGCAGACATGGTCAAGTACGTGCAATAAACCGTCACCATTGCCGCTTGCGCCAACCCGGCCCGAGGATTATGTTCCTGCACCACAGGTTGAACGGATACAACCGAGATGATGAGAAAGACGATGAGGTTGACCTGTGAAGTCATATGAGCTGAGTTCTTGGTAGTCTTCTGGTTCGTCTGGCGGGATACTCACCGTAATAGCTGTTTGATTCATAGAGCAGTGTTTCTTAGCGAAGAACACATACATCAGGACGGTCATCGCAATCGATGCAATGTACATGCCGAGCGTTGAGCCGATGAGCAGTCCGCGCCACAGCCGAGAATCATTGTCCTCAATCTTCTGCAGGCAGAGTTCAGCCCACGAATGCGCCAGATCCACCAGAAGAATGAGTCCAAGAAGGAGGAAGAGCATCGCACAGAAGAAAGCGATGTAGTGGCCGTATACGAGGAAGAACGACTCCGGGATGAAGAACGACGTCACGACGAGGGCAATCCATAAGATGATCTTGGGGCCCCAGAAACCATTTTGCAGAACAGCCCGGCCATTCCTGGACGATTTAACGCCAAGCAACATAAAAGCGAGAATGAGATGGAAGAGACCGAGACCGAAGTTGATACGATGAACCGCCACCCAACCATGACACTCTTTCCCGTCGCACCGTATTTCCATGTAATCAAGCGTCATATGCTCCAACTTCTTCAGCGCCCATGGTGTGAGCATTATCCAGGAAACAATGGAGTTGATCAAGAGAATGAATGCATAAGCGATTCTTGTCATCATACTGTTTGATTCGGCGAACAAGCGTTAGCGACTCGCTGATCCTCCGCAGTCTTTTGAACCGAATTCAACACAGGGTTATTACCTATTCTGAAACTTTCCGCACGCACTGCAAACCGCCGAACATGTTGCGGCTCCACAACACGAAGTCGCGACAGTGATGAGCTACTCCAGGTGTCAGTGGACCTATCTGAACGCCTCCGCCAGTGACAACGTACCGTACTGGCGCTTGGGATAGCCAGCAGAGGCAAGGATAATAGAGCTCCCATGTTGTCGTAACCTTTGAGACGGTATTAGGTGTCCCAAATCGAATATGACCTTCAAACCGAAGGATAAGATGCAGAGGTGCGATACAGCTCGAGGTGGCTGCGATCAGGCGGCTGGGATTGGAGAGAGATGCCGCTATCGTCATATTGCGCATCAGGTGACCCGCCTTTCCCGCTAGATGCCTGAGGCCATAAGGAGTCATGTGATAGTACACGTAAGCCCAGGTTATCGGAGATAACGATTAGACTTGTGTGACAACAGCCATACCTAGATTGGTAGGTAGTACGTAGTCAAGTGTTCACACTTCAGGCCACTCGACCTTGTTTCCTCTCTCCTTTGGCTACTTCCTTTGCCCCTAGTTTAATTGTCTAATCACACTTACCAGACAGTTCACTGGTGTGAACTCGCTCTGGTTTGTCTGTTGACTATAGATCTTTCTTGGCGATTGCCCTCCAACTCCTATCCATATCGCAGGCTGTCCCTTGACATCTGTGACGTGGTAGACATCTGCTCCTTACTTCTGCAGAAATCATCTGGAGGCCTCCTATTTAAAACTCATGTTTTAAAAGTCGAGTTTCGACAGACAGTGCGCCGATTGATAGCTATGACGGGCTCAATTCATCAGTCCAGGCGGATACTATCCGTTATCGCTGGGACACTCGCGGCACTTGCCTGCGGTACTAATGTATGATCCGTCTGTCAAAAGCATCATCGTAGAGTATATGCCAATTGCTGAGTTCTTGAACAGTACGCATACTCCGCATGGGAACCTCAATTCGCGGATCGGATGAAGCTCTCATCAACGGAGAGTAACTTCATTGTAAGCAGTCCGCCTGCATTCTACTCAACTCATAAAACAACAAATCTCACTTCTCTCAGGGTGCCGCAGGTAATCTGGGCATGTATGCGTCAGGAATCCCTTTGGGGTTATTAATAGACGCTCGAGGACCACGGCTTACGACAATCTTGGGAGCCATCACACTTGGCGTTGGGTATTACCCAATCTATCAAGGTTCGAATTACAATTTTCGTTCAGTGGTGACTTTCTGACTGATATATCATTGGTTGAAAACAGCACATGTGCATGGGGAAGGGTCGCTGAGCGTGGCAATGCTGTCGTTTTTCTCTTTTCTCACTGGCTTTGGAAGCTGTTCCTCCTTTTCTGCATCTATTAAGACAGGTATGTATAAGAACAAGCATGGTCAATTGTGGTACTGATGCTGAAAATCACGGGAAACAGCGGCTTCCAACTTCCCTGATCATCGAGGCACAGCAACTGCGTTTCCCCTGGCTGCATTTGGCCTGAGCGCCTTCTTCTGGTCCACCGTGTCTGCGATTCTCTTCAAGGACGACACGGGCAAATTCCTTCTTCTCTTGGCCCTAGGAACCTTCCTATTAAACCTTGTCGCTATACCATTCCTCCGTATCCTGCCACCTCATAGCCCATACCAGCCTTTGTCACACCTGGGGGACACCATCGTCGAATCCCGGCCATTGCGTACTACTGGGTCAACTGAACTACGGTCATCTTATCAGGAAGACTATGATGAAGCAGGTACGCAAAGTTCTAGTGTCTTTGAATCACAGCCCCACGCGCACGCTCGATCACTCTCACACGCCTCGAATTCCCACCATCATCATGTCAATAGCCTCGACTCCGACGAGACATCTTCCTTGGTATCTAAACCGATCTCGAGGCTGTCTCGAGATGCCCTGGATGGATTTCGCGCAGATGAAGACCTGCCCCATGTGACTCTCGACTCACCTCACCCAGACGTTAGAGGCTTGGCGATGCTGCCGAATGTAGAGTTCTGGCAACTCTTCCTCACAATGGCGCTTCTTTCTGGGATTGGATTAATGACTATCAAGTTGGTTCCCTTCCCTAGCCTCATTCTTCCGACCTTCTCAAGCGGAATACTAATCCTACATTTTTTTTAGTAATATCGGCAACAGTGTAAGGTACCTGGTGCTACTGTCCACACGTTTTTCTCTAATGTCTTGTAGGCCAAAGCTCTCTGGCAACATTACGATGACAGTGCGAGCTCCCAGTTCATTCATCAGCGACAGGTCATGCATGTTTCCATCCTGTCCTTTGGCAACTTCATTGGCCGCCTCTTGAGTGGTATGTCCCCGGTCATCTGTCCATGGAATTAGTTCGAGACTATATTTAACCTTATCTGCAGGCGTTGGGTCCGATATGCTAGTCAAGAAGTTGAACATGTCCCGATTTTGGTGCTTGTTCATTTCTGCAACGGTCTTCACGGGAACACAACTTGCGGGAGCCGCGATCTCGAACCCTAATCAGTTGGTTGTAGTTTCGGGGTGCACCGGCGTTGCATATGGATTCCTTTTCGGTGTCTTCCCATCGCTGGTAGCTCATACATTCGGAATCGGAGGTCTCTCTCAGAACTGGGGAGTGATGACCCTTGCACCAGTTCTGAGTGGTAACCTTTTCAACCTAATCTACGGCAGCATTTATGATAAGCACTCGATTGTTGCCCCCGATGGCGAGCGAGACTGCCCGGACGGCTTGGCTTGTTACCAAGGTGCTTATTACATGACTTTCTTCTCTGGCGTTGCCGGAATCGTCGTGTGCCTGTGGAGTATCTGGCGCGAGTACCAGATTCACCAAGCTTTTCGCAGAAAGGTGGAACATGACCGTCTCGCTTGATAACCTCCAAAATTGAAGCAGGCCGAGATTTCTCTTGAGCGACGTCCAAGCCTCGCTCTCTATTACCCTTCCTGACATTCTCTAATCTTTTTCTTTATAATTCTGTGATGACTGTTTCTGGGCGGTTATATAGACGGTGAGGCTTAGAGCGCGTCTGGTTTACATCCTTCCCTTCATTTCTCTGTTTCATCCCAGCCCGATTTCTGACACCATTACTCGCTTGACACTATTTCCCCGTTTCTGAACTGGTTCAGATACCCGTCGCAAATCAATGTACATACGCCTCGGATCGCTCCTTAGCTACCGATTTCCCATGGACATCGAAATATAGTGCAAAGCTGTAAGAACTGTGGATGAATCGTATATTTACCGGGTGCGCCCACATCGTAACTGACCAAGGAGACCGTTTTCGTCAACTGATTAGAAAAAGAAATATCGAAGAACTAATAGTACACTGGAAGAAGAAAAATGGCAAACATGGAAGAAGTCATCAATCGCCAAAGATGGAGGTCTTCGGCATTTCGGCTTACCCAAAAAGACAGTCAGATCCCTTGAACAGGGAAAAACGAGAGCGAAAAGACGAGGTAACATGGAGGGAAAGGCAATGAACGCAGGTCTCGAACTGTATCATCCCTGCTTTCGCTCTGGCGATGATGAAAGCGAAACAATGTGCGATGAGGGAGGCACCGAGGGAATTGAATACCGTGTCCTGCACTCCTGCCCCGACCATTTTCTCTAGTCGGTTCACTCTTTTCGGCCTATGCCTGATCCTCCGTGCACAATCGAGGGCTCTGACGACGGAGAGACAAGGCTCTGGGAATATAAATCAACAAATTGATTGCGGTGGGAATAATTGGCAGACAGAGTAGTGTTCGTGATTCGCTCCTTTTTTCCTTTCCTATTTTGGGAAGTATAATTTTTTCAAGCATCGTTCGCTCCGCGAAGTGCTTTTTCTTACTTTTTAAGATTCGGGTGGGAGGTCACCCTCGACGAAAAGGTCAGATAGACCTGCCCAAGAACGAGGCGCGAAGTAGACAACGAGGTAGTGGATGGATAACACAGATATTAGGTTAATCCGACTTATATCCAGCCAATGAAATACTCGTAAAGGGTATCAAGAAAGTTCAGGGAAGTCTGAGAGTGCAGCAAGACGGGGGTACTTTTTATGTTTTGAGGCGTTGCAAAGGTCGGTGCCACTCTTTCCACGAATGGTTGACCAGTCCCTGGATTATATGCTCTTCGGCGACTTCGTTGGCGATGCGGAGGACTGTTCTACCATGTCGGACAACCTTATCTTTTTGGACAGGGGTTCGCCGGGGCTGTCGTTGTTCGCCGAACTGTTCAAGTTGGCCTGGTCGGCTAACTGCCGCTCAAGGTCACTCACGCGCCGTTTGAGCTCTTCTTCTCGACGCTGCGCTTCTTCGAGAGACCGACGGAGACGCGCTTCCGAATCGCGGACGATCATCTCGGACCGGCGCGCGGTCGCGTCGCTCTGTTCGAGCTCCGCAACGCGGCCCCGAAAAAGCCCATTGATGAGTTCCAATTCGCTCACGCGCGTTTTCAATGATGCATTTGCTGCAAGGAGTCCCTCGTATGTCTGTGGTGCATCGGCATGACGGTCTACCGCTGCCGAGGAGGTCGATGTGGGAGACGGTTGATGCAGCTGAAGCGAGGGGAGGCCATTGGGCGGATTCAAAGTATGGTCGGCGAGGGTGACGCTGTCGAATATGTGCTGGGGCGCAATGTTCGAGGTGTGTTGATGTTGCTGTTGTTGCAAGGCAGAAACTCCGGGAGTGTCAGTCCGGGACACTGGTGAATTGGACCGATCCGAATGGCCCGGCGACGTCTTTCGCGATGCGCGACGATAACCCTGCGATCCCAGAGGTGGTGTGCCATCTTCGGACCTCGAGGTCGGAAGACCATTCGCATCTACAGCACTGCTTGACTGAAATAACGCGATGTTAGAATCCAGCGACCCTTATCTTCACAAGGCCGGGGTACGATGACGAGATAAGAAAATTTTTTAGTCATCAAGACTCACCTTACGCTTAGGGCCTTGACCGGCGGTCTTGACTCTATTGCGACTCTTGATCACATCAGTCTTGAGGCTTATCGGACGAGGTCGGCCATGCAACTTGAGGAACAAGCCACAAGCGTTGCAGAGGACCGAGCCGAGTTCGTCTCTTCGCCAGAGCGGCGTGGTCGAGGTACCACAATTCTGGCAGACAGGCTGTAATTGAGGACGCTTCTGGTCAGTCAAGGTTGTCGCCATAATTTTGCGAGATCGCGAAAAGTGAGAAAAAGTGGCTGAGGAAGAGGAGAATGGGTGGGAGTGAAGCGCCTGATAGTGGATGGATTGGGAGGGAAGATGTGCGATGATGGGTTGATAAGATCGGGAGAGATTTGATGATAAGAAACTGGCAAAGGCGGGTGGTGTGCGGGTGCTGCAATGCCAAGACCGCAGATAACAGAGAGTGACAAAATCAGCAGGGGAAAAAAAGGGCTGGGAGAAGCAATAATGACATGCAGATAAGGCCGAATCCACACATGCGATAAGAACAAACACTCTGTCGACAGTAATTATTATAATTGAATTGACTGCTAATTCACTTACTGGATTATTGCCTTGTCCACCAGTCATGGCTGCGGGGGATGAAGTTGCGTAAGTCATATTGGCCATGGCTAAATTTGCATCGCTGTTGGAGGCACTAAGCATGTAAGATCTTGTCAGCAAAGATAACCCAACTGCCTGTGATAATGTACCTGCGACCTTCCCTTTTCAACCGGGGATAGACGCAGGAATGGTTTGCAAGAGAAGAAAAATTACGAAGGGAACCGTAGAGGAAAGTGAAATCAATGAGAGATCCAACTTCCAGCATCTACAATATCCTTGTTTTGTCCAAGAGAGGGCCCCGAAGGTGACTTTATCGCAGGATACCGGGAAAGGTGTACATACCGCAGATTGGATGTTGGAGCAGACGCGACTGATGCCAGCGCAGAGAGACCAGGAAGAGAAGGACCAAGAGAGTTGGGACCTGGGAAACCGCTCCCAATCCCGTTGCAGGTGTCGAGGCTATAGTTTGATTGCTCTAAGCAGTACAGATCAGTCCCGATATCGACCAATTGTGAAAATCTCGGCGACGAACCCGCTATAGCATCCGCTCCCGGTTGCTGAGACGTAGATTGATCGTCAATGGAAGTGGTACGGTTGTAGCTGGCAAGATCGTGGGTCCGGGGAGCAGGCGGAGACGAAGGATGGAGGGCTGGGTCGATGGGCGACGCCCGGAAAAGAATTGAAGCCACCGTGTAGGGAGTAGTGAAAATTCGCTATAAATTCGGCCTAGACAGAGACCGAATTGGCAGATGACGGAGGCAGGGAAGAGGAGATCGGGTGTGCTGGTGGGTTGTATGCGTCGTATCGGAGAGTTCTCGTGCCAGTAACGCAGGGAGTCCAGCCTCGTCGAGAAAGGGGAATGGATGAGGTGGAATGTCTTTCAGTTCCTCGGAGAAGCAAGGATTATACAAAAAAGAATTAGGAGATGAACTCGTAGCTTTTCCTGATTTCGTAAACAGGAAAAGGTCAGGGAGTGAAAGATCTCAGACGAGAGTGTCCCAGGATACACCCAAGGAGGAGGACGATGAAAGAGAGACAGGCAAAAGAGCGACGACAATTACCATACAAGGATCCGTGGAAGCTCAATTGGAATTGGAAGGAGGATGGTATGAGGACAAGAATAAGAGGAAGAGTTGCACGAGATGGAGGAAATCCTGAGAGGAAGTTGGTACGTAGTATTATCGGACCTGCTATCTATCTTGACTATCGCGCGTCTCGGAGACTATCGATTATTTATCGCAATCGGTTTCGGGACGATTGCTTGGCAGAATAGATCTTTAACTATTTGGTTTGAGTGTAAAGCTATCATTAATGATACTCGTCTGCGCCTTCTGGGCTTTTCTTCCAGACCGATATACTGTTTAGTGTGTTCGGTATATCTAAGCCTAGGTTTAAGTATACTTCAGTCTTTGCGTCGGATCATGAATGTGCGATGGACGGCTTGGAGAGGCACTTCTTACACCGAAAAATATTAGAGCTATTGCTCATCAACGCAGCATGCAGGGCATGCTAATGTAGGATAAGAAGCGAGGACCCAGATGGTAGCGATGTTATTATTCATGCCCCTGCGTCCCCCTTTCTCCCGCATGTTTGCAGGAGCGCAAAATCTCACCCCAAACTATGCGTACGCGCGAGCAATGAGCTACATTGAAATCCCTTGATCATTCCTGGAGATCCAGAATGAATGGCTTCGGCTTTGACCCTGACATGGTCGCGAAATGTAACAATGGATTGATAGTCCAAAGCTGTCCGGTTCATAGAAGATGTTTCGAGCTTAAAACATCGAGGTATCGAGGTATCGAGGCAGCATACTCCATCCTATGTGGCACGGGGCTTACGGCATGCTTCAAGCGCACATACGATCCTTTCCCCAGTTCGAGTGGCTTCATGGCACATCCTTTCACCTCAGAAGTCAACAAACTCGAGATTGACCAAGCGTACTTGTCGAGGTCATGAGTAGATAGCAGTTGGACCCCCTTGTCTTTGCTCACTTCAGCGTGCAGGAAACTGAAACGCTGGCTGGAAACGTAGTGTGGGTTGTACAAAGTGATACTCAGTGCGATATCCCCTCAGTTTCCAGATTTCAATCCAATACTTCTCATCGTCGTTACTACCTATATGTGGTAGCAATCGAGATAACTGTCTAGTTACTTTCATTATCCTAGCTTAACTGCTGACTGGTTGTCTCTAATTTCAGGGGCTTTGTTTAAGCTCTTCTGCAAGTGGAGCCACACGGGATAGGCTTGTGGCGGTGCAGTACTGTAATTTTATTCCAGCTGTGGCTGACTCAGGCTGGACTGGTCCCTGATTTGTAACCATACGGTAAAAACCAATTGTTCACCTAATGGATCATGACGGCGGCGATCCAACGAGACTAACTCCAGGTAACCCTTTTCTTCCTTCGACTGCATCAGTAGAGTTACTAATGCCTTGAGTGTCTTTGCTCTTGTCTTTCTTTCTTTCATTCTCGTCTTTTCTATTCTCTTCTTCAATTCTTCTAGGCTTTCGTGTTTCTTTTTCTTCCCCGCCTTTCTGCTTCAGATGAGCCCAACGCTGTTCGCCTCCCGGGCTTGCTGAGACAATCTACCTCCATCATGCCTAAAAATCGCCCCGCGACGTCCGGTTATGCCCGTCTTGCTCAGGAGGAAGAAGATAGAGCGAACGATGCATACTATTATTCGGAGGATGAAGATGACTTGCACGGTCCTTCCAGTACGGTGTCGCAGTCCGCCCCACGATATGCCCCGATCTCCACTCGAGCCCAGATGACTCCTGCCTTCTCTTCGCCACCAGGACACCGGAGGAAATCGAGTGGACACTACCACCGTGGGCGTCGAAATTCTGGCGTCGACATTAAGGCCATCAATGCGCGTCTCGAACGTTGGGCCGAGGACTTTGCTTCGAAATTCAAGATCAACAGAGTCAAAGGGAAGACACTGGAAGAAGAGAAACTCGAGATCTACCATTCTGTTTTTCAACCACCAGATGGCGTTAGACCGATTTCCGCTGAAGCTCTCGAGTCGGAGGAAGTTGAACGGGCGCAGCGACAAGCACGAGAGGAATTCGAGGCCGTTGTTGAAAGTGTCCGTACCGCCATTGAGTTGGGGGTACATCCCCGAATGATATCTCAGGGTAGCTCGGGAAGTTATTTCGCTCGCAACAGTGAAGGGAAAGTTGTAGGCGTCTTCAAACCCAAGGATGAGGAGCCTTACGCATCTCGCAATCCGAAATGGACCAAGTGGCTACACAGGAACTTATTCCCGTGCTTCTTTGGCCGTGCGTGCTTGATTCCTAATCTTTCATATGTCTCAGAGGCTGCAGCATATGTCCTCGACTCTCGATTACGCACCAACCTCGTTCCATACACCGATATTGTGTATCTATCCTCGAAATCCTTCTTCTACGACTTCTGGGATCGAAGAAAGGCTTGGATGGGCAAGAAACCGCTTCCTCCCAAGGCTGGTAGCTTCCAGGTTTTCTTGAAGGGTTACAAGGATGCGAACCTCTTTCTGCGCGATCATCCCTGGCCAGACCAGACCAGCACTGGGTTTCGTGCCGAGGACGCTCCAAAGCGTAAGAAGCGACCTTGGAGCGAGGCTTGTCGCCCGTCGGGGATACACTCGGACGATGAAGACGAGGACGATGAAAACAATTATGCACCTTCTCCAGCGCCGCGGGACGAGAGTGGGGAGCGGCGATTCTACTGGACTGAACAGCTAAAGCAATCCTTCAGAGAGGAATTAGAGAAACTAGTTATTTTGGACTATATCATGCGCAATACCGATCGTGGGTTGGACAATTGGATGATCAAAATCGACTGGAAGACAGAAGACGTGTCTATTGTTGCCGAGCCGCCCAAGACCAACGGGACACAACAGGACGATGATGACGAGCACATGCCTCCAGCTCGTCCTGTTTCCACCAGTCCTGAGAGGACTGGCACTGCATCCTATCCGTATAGACGGCATGAGACTATGGTCGCAGTGAGTCGCACCGGAACACCGCTCAATTCAACGGAGCCACAGGCGACTATTCAGATCGGGGCTATCGACAACAGTCTGTCGTGGCCGTGGAAGCATCCGGATGCCGTAAGTTATTCTCTTCCCCAATTCCCCAATCTTTAGATATGATTTTGCTAATTTGACACAGTGGCGAAGCTTCCCTTTTGGCTGGCTTTTCCTTCCCGTTTCTCTAATCGGCCAACCCTTCTCTCAGAAGACCAGGGACCATTTCTTACCTCTTCTAACATCCACGGCCTGGTGGAGTGGGACGCAGATGGCACTTCGGCGTGTCTTCTCGCAAGACGCCGATTTCAAGGAGAGCATGTTTGCAAGGCAGATTGCAGTCATGAAGGGACAAGCCTGGAATGTTGTTGAAACTTTGAAGCATCCGGATCATGGCCCCTTGGAACTGACGAGAAGGACTAGAGTCTGCGTATGGGATGATTTGGTAGATGTTCCGGTTGCTATCCCCCTTCGTGGACAGCCATCCACCGATGCTCAAAAGCGCAAGATGAGGCGCTATGACAGTTACGACAAACATGACGATTACGATCCAGACAATGAGGAAATGGATATTGGCGCTGCCATGTCTCTGCCGTCGCAACCACAACACGACCTTTTGGGCCTTCATTCCCCTCCGAGTGAGCTCCCGAACCCGAATCGATTCGAGCTTTCGCGCAGCCGAGAGCATGAGGGGCCGACGCGGGATGGTAGCCCCGTCACACTGGGCCGTGACAGTGTTGATGGTCTTGGTCTTGGTAGAGACACGGATCGGAATTGGGCTCCTCTCCCTCCTAGACCCGAACACAAACGGCATCGCAAACAGAGCTCCATGTCAAGTGCGCATGGTCAAGCGCAATTTGTCTGGGGCAGTGACGACCTCGAAGGCGACCTCGGCTATGCAGCTGCTGAGGGTATGGAAGGGAACCAGCGCAAGGTCATTGTCGAGCGGTTAGAAGCTGTGAAGAGCAAAAACCCCGTCTTTACGTGGTGCTAACTGTGAACCAAACTTTTTTTCTTCACGCTAAACACCCTTCCTCGACATTGTCCTTCCGGAAAATCCTTCGCTTTCGAATCTCTCCTTACCCCCATTACCCCCTTCCTTCTTCTTCTGTTTAGACCTAAACCACCTCCATCATCACTTTTACATTACTTTCTCTCCCAATTAGCGTTGTTTTTCTTGGCAATCTGGCATGAGATGTCCTTGTGCTGCAAGAGGCAGCATTGGCCTGGGAGAAATCTTTGTTGTATATAGAATTTGCGCCGGCTCCTCGGTTAATACTCCTGTTTTGAGGATATGGTCGGATGTGTACGTGACAGGCAATGTAGCATATAATGAGACTAATATTAGCATGATACCAATAATTCACTCCGTTCCATGCTAAGTAGTGTGTTCTATGTCCCTCAAGTGAAGTGACGGTGAGCTGCAGGCGAGGCTGCTGTGATAAGCCCTCTCTTATCGGCGCCTTGGCATTCGCGATATGCGATCGAGGCAGAAACGCCCAGCATGAGTGAGGTCATGGCCTACCATTGCTCAGGCACCCTTCTGCTTCTGCTCTCTCTTCGGATAGAGTTTCTCGACGATCTGAGAGTCAGTTGGCTATGGGTGGATACTGACAAGACTCTTGTTGGGCTTCTTTCCATGCCTTGCTAACGCTTTTGCCTCTCTCATTCTCCACATCCCAAGTCATATGCCCTTCTTATCCCCTCTTCGCATACGCGCTTCGCAACCTGTATCTATCTCTATTCTCACCAACCCTCCTGGAATCTTCTCTCTCGAAGTGGACTTGGCTCGCGTAGTCAGAACAACCATCTGCCCGCCCGTTTGAGAGGCTCGGATACCCGCATAGGCGGAAGACAGGACGATGGCGTCCCACGCCGCCATGCTCCTGGACCCCAAAGCCTACAGAAAACAACTTCAGAAGAATGGTAACGACCCAGAGATTTCATATGCGTCGCCAGATCCCCACATAAGCGCGCAGAATGAGGCGCCTGATGAACCCTTGTTTTTCTTCCCATCATCCAGCCGATGCCCCTCCCCGCCAGAGGACCCCGAGTACTTGGACCCAAATGACTTACTCGTTGACGGAACAGGCCTACAAAGTACCAGCGCGTCGCCGCGTAGTGCCCCCTCGACTGCCGCGCCGGCTGGGACAGTTTCCGCTGCACATCAGCTTCTCAACCCGCAGCGCCGCCAGCGCTCGTCCAAGGCCAACCCGAAATCGAAGTCGAGGTCGCAGGCTGAGTCGGTCCGATCGCGAGAAGAGAGCAGTGCGAGCTCGTCGCCACACCGGTCAGCCAGGAATGAGCCTGCGCCGGAGATCGAGTTTACAAGTGCACAGTCCGAGGACGATAATGACTGGAAGCGGAACTCGGATCACCTTGATAGTGACGTTGAGGCGCGCCACGCCAGTCTCATCGAGGATATGTACGGTGTGGAGAAACGAGTTCATCAGCCTTACAAGAAGATCAAAAGGGAGAATGACGAGGAAGCACCCAAGACGGTCAAGAACGGGCCGATTACGATCACCGGGGACACGGAGTTGGGCAAATATGTGAAAGAGGACAAGGGGAAGTCTGATTATTCCTCTCCGGCCACACCAAGTGTGGTTGATCTGACCATCGGTGAGAAAGAATCCTACGAGATTGACATTTGTCGGTGATTGTATGCTGATAGTGTCATGCACAGACTCCGCTGGTGCTACTAATGACGACGACGACGACCTGCAGTTCACCGGGTCGAACAACCTCAGTGTCCAGCGAGTATGTTATGGAAAGGTGGACAATGCGATGATACAAGCGCAAATCGTGCCCAAACCTGCTGCCCAAAATATCTTTGGCGACTCGGCGCACGATTGGCCTTCAATAAAGTTGGGCGTACATAGACACCCAAATCGAAACAGCTACAGAATTGATGTTTCGGACCCGCATGGGAAAGTCTTTGGTGCAGTTGATGCGAAGACCGCAGGCGTGATTGTCCCATTGCTTGACTCTCAGGCTCTCAAGGTTGACATGACAGCGCGATTAGACGTTCGCAGAAGGCTGCCGGGTGAAATGCCATGGGCCCCCTGCTCTGCTCTCTATAGAGCGTCTATCAATCTCTACGGTCTGAGGAAAGATGCTGAGCTGGTTGGTAAGCACCTCGGGCAGCACAATGTTTGGCTTGGGACACCGTTCTCTGTGGAACAAGGAGTACCAGTCTTCAATCCGCATGCTGAGCGGCGGCGAGCTCAGGCGGCCTCCCTTTTGCCATCAATAGCTGCGAGGGGCCGTACGGGTGTTAGCTACGAAGTTCGCACCGCAGAAGAGGTCAACGATGCAGTCATGAAGATGTTCGATCAGCTTCAGAGCGCGCAGAATATTCCGGAAATGGAGCCCCCGGATTCGGTGTTGACCCCTCTCCTCCGCCATCAAAAGCAAGCTCTATGGTTCATGACTGAGAAAGAGAAGTCGCGCAAGTTTGGCCCCAAAGAGGAGGATAACAATTCCCTTTGGAGGATAGAGTATCGCGCAAATGGGGTCAAGCGGTATCGTGAAATCATCAGCGGCATTGTCCTCGACGAAGAGCCGCCTCAGAGCTTAGGAGGCTTATTAGCAGATATGATGGGTCTTGGAAAGACTCTGAGCATTCTTTCACTCGTTGTTTCCTCTTTGCACCAGGCTCATGAATGGGCGACGAAAATACCGGAGCCAGACCTTGTGCAAAGCCTACCTGGTATTCGCAACTGCAAGACCACTCTTTTAGTCGTTCCTCTCAGTACTGTCAACAACTGGGTTTCGCAGATCAAAGAGCATTTGAAGGAGAACGCCATCTCATACTACGTGTTCCACGGCTCCTCCAGGACCACCGATGTGGACGAACTGTCAAGCTACGACGTGGTGATCACAACCTACAGCATTGTGCTATCTGAACTGTCTCAGAGAGGATCCAAGCGAGGCGTAAGTCCTTTGACGAAGATGAATTTGTTTCGTATTGTTTTGGACGAAGCACACACCATCCGAGAGCAAAGTGCTGCCCAGACGCAGGCAATATTCAAGCTAAACGCTCAGCGGCGCTGGTCTGTGACCGGTACTCCCATCCAGAACCGCCTTGAAGACCTTCTCTCCGTTACGAAGTTTCTTGGATTGGTCCCCTACGATGATCGGGCCCGATTTGGCATGCATATTCTTAGTCGGTTCAAGACAGGTGACGCGACAGTTCTCGCAAGCTTGCGTGTGCTCGTTGACTCCTTTACTCTACGTCGGGTCAAAGATAAGATTGACATTCCTCCTCGACATGACAAGATTATCACGCTCGAGTTCTCCGAAAAGGAGAAGCAGCTGCATGAATTCTTCCGGAAGGAGTCTAATGTCATGATGAGGGTGATTGCAGGAGAGGACAAGACGAAGATGAAAGGACGAATGTACCATCATATTCTCAAAGCAATGATGATTCTGCGGCAAATCAGTGCACACGGCAAAGAGCTTCTCGACAGCGATGATCGTCAGCGGATCAAAGGAATTAGCGTGCAGGATGCAATTGATCTCGAAGAAGGAACGGGCGAATCTGCCGGTGTGATTGACAGGAAGGCGTACGAGATGTTCAACCTGATGCAGGAATCGTCGGCCGATGCATGTGCCATGTGTGGCAAGCGCTTGGAAGAGCCCGGATCGGACACTGGTGTGACGGATCGGAAAGCTCCAATGGCGGTAGTGCTACCATGCTTTGACGTCGTCTGTCCCGACTGCTTCTCCGGGTGGAAACAAGCTTTCGATGGTCAAGTCGAACCTACGAATACAATAAAATGCCAGGTTTGTGACGGTTGGATCCCTGTTTCGTATTCGACCATCACTGTCGAAGGACTGGAGGAGTATTTGACGGAGCACGAACAAGCGAAGCAGAGCCGAAGGCAATCCAAAACCCTTGGCGAGTATGAAGGACCACACACGAAGACCAAGGCGCTTTTGGCTCATCTCGCCGAATCTGCAGAGGAGAGCAAGAGGCTAAATACTGAGCCCCCAATCAAGAGCGTGGTTTTCTCGGCTTGGACCTCTCATCTTGACTTGATCGAGATTGCGCTGAAAGATCGTGGCATGACGGGATTCACCCGCTTAGACGGGACTATGTCGCTCGCAGCTCGTAACAGAGCTCTAGAGGACTTCCATACCAACGACAACACCACCATCTTGCTAGCCACAATCGGTGCTGGTGGTGTCGGATTGAACTTAACTTCCGCTTCGAAAGTGTATATCATGGAACCTCAATATAATCCTGCAGCTGTGGCCCAGGCAATCGATCGGGTACACCGACTGGGTCAAACGCGCGAGGTGACCACAGTTCAATTTATCATGAAGGGGAGTATAGAGGAGAAGATCTTCGAGCTCGCCAAGAAGAAGCAGCAGTTGGCAGACATGAGCATGAACCGTGGCAAGCTCGACAAGAAAGACATTCAGGAGCAGCGGATGAGAGAATATAGAAGTCTCTTCAAATGATGTTCTTGCCTTTGTGATTTGCAGTGGCTTTCTCTTTTTCTTCCCCAACCTATCTTCACTCGGACAGCATGGAGGAATGGATTTTGATACCCGAACGTTTGATTTTGGCGTTTGACGGTTTCCCTGGGCTTCGTTTCATATTTCTTTTTCTGCGATCTTTCATTTTTGCATCTACGCCGTGGAAAGGAAGCTACACACCATTCTGCGGACGCATAGACGCGCCCCCTTGAAGGAAGGTATACGGGACGCTACACAAGACGGCTGGACGCGAGTCCACATTTTCATGGTAATGGTCGTTTTTCTTTTAGTGCTATACACTGGACGGACGGGCACGGGATCATAAAGACATGCACTTTTTGATATGCTAGCGTTTTAATCATACATCTTATCATAACGATACTGGTCCACCTTTGAGTGTGGCGTAGAGCGCTCCAGATAGACTTTCATAAAGTTGTCCGTCCAGCGTGACAGAGCCAACGACAGCAAGACATCAAGAATATTTCTCAAGTAGCTCCCGATCCCCATATATCCCCGTCTCAACCGCCCTCAGCACATTCTCCAGCGTCCTCCTCAACCTCTTCAACTCCCTCATCTTCAATTCCCGCTCCTCCTCAACCCGCCTCAACTCCCCTCCAACTCCCGAATCCGCTTCTCCTGCTCCGCCTCAGAGCTATCAATCCCCGGTAACACCGATATCAAATACTCAATCTGCTGCTCCTTGATGATAAGATCCCGCGCCAATTCCCGCTGCCGACTCGCAAACGTCCGCGGGCTATCCGGCGCCGGCAGGTTCGCGTCCGCCCCTGCGCCCGCTGCCGGGCCGGGCGTTTGCCCACCGTCGCCTACGCTTGTGCCTGCGCCTGCAGCGCCATGTGCGGGATTCTGGGCTGGAGGGGAGGCCTGGGACTGCGCTGGGACCGGTGCGCCGGCTGGGACTGGCGGCGCGGTGGAGTTCTTGGGGATTTTGGCGAGGGCTGGGGCGGCGTCTGGGACGTCTGGAGGTGGGATCGTAGGGGAGTTGTCGTGGTAGGTGCTTAGGTAGCCTATTGTGGCGTAGAATTGGGTTGCGAGCTGTGAGGTGAGGGTTAGATTGGTGGTTTTGGAGGGTGGGGTTTGGGGTTGCATGGGTGAGGTACCTGGTCTAGGCAGGTTTGGAGTTGGGTTAGGATGTCTGCCATTTCGCGGGTTGATACGTGGTTGAGTGAGGTGTAGGTAGGGAAAGTAAAGCCCTCTCAGCGAGGTTTGTTGATGTAGGGCGAGATTGGGAAGATAGTTGGAGAATGAGCGAGATGCGGAGAAAGCCAAAGCGGTGATGCGGTCAGAGGTAGAACGGAGATGGTTTCCTCTAGCTTCACCAGCAACCGTCGGCATGACTTGATATGAATCGGATCCAATTTCTCACCAGACTCCTCCGGCGCAATTTCTCAGCCAGTCCAATCCATCACCAGCTCGACGCCTTCACTCGCCGACTTTTCAAGCTCCCTTCTCCTCCCCCTCGCCGTCGCAACACCACAATGACCTTGCATCCTTCCTCGCCTACGCAGAGCGGACCTCTCTCCCACCGACAAGCACAACCTACATAGGCACACACTACGAATACACCGTCCAGCAAACCCTCCGGCGCTTCGCCTTCTCCCTCCACCGAGTCGGCGGGCGCGACGATGCAGGCATCGATCTCATAGGCACCTGGCACCTCCCGCAACACGAACACCCGCTGCGCGTCTTCGTGCAATGCAAGTCCCTCAAGACAAAGCTGGGGCCGAATCTCGTCCGGGAGCTCGAAGGAACGTTCCGCCAGTCGCCAGTTGGGTGGCGCACAGGGTCGAAGATTGGGGTTCTGGTTGGCCCTCGTGAGGCGACGAAGGGCGTTCGGGATGCGATGGCGCGAAGTGCGTATCCGCTTCTGTGGATGATGGTTGAGCGGGACGGGGAGCTGCAGCAGGCGCTGTGGAATGGTTGCGCTGAGCAGCTGGGTTTGGGGGCGTTGGGAGTGGAGATGGTGTATGGGGTTGCGTCGGGCAGGAGGATCAGTTTGACCTGGGATGGGTCTGAATTGCCTTCTATGGATCAGGTTGAGGAATTGATGATGCAGCGGCAGGATGAGTGGCTACGACTGTGGGATGCGGATTCTGAGGCGTCTGGGCCGCGTAGAGGAGAATTGTTGGATCTTGTACAGCAGCTGTATCCTGATGAAAAGCCGCTCTTGTTAGGAGCTGATACGTGCACTACTTTGACCGAGGCCGAGAGGACCAAGGTCCTGCAGCAGCTGCGCAACAGGCTACAGACGCCTGCGGAGAACAGTGGAAGTTGAGCATGATCTCATCAGCTCGACTGTACCTAGACACGATCTAGTCAATGGCCACAGTTGAAAAAAAAAAAAAAAAAAAAAAGCAGTATATCGGATTGACAGTACAAATGAATCCCTGGGTATATCAAGCGACAAATGGCAAAACACAGAAATCAAGATCACAAGCATTGCGTCATCATATCCCACAACTCGAAAACTGTACGCCTCACGTCCACCTGGGAGGAAACCAAACGCCATAACCAAATTGCGCAACTCAACCTTGCATAGTCGACCAAAAGTAATTGGCATAGAAGAAACGCGAGAACTTGGGGTCCATATTGACCACGTGGACGTCTCCCTTGCGACTGTTGCGAATAACAGCCTTGCCAAAGTTTCCGGCCTCGTCCGCCTCGATATCAATGCCCAAAGACCGGTAGATCTTGAGGCGAAGTCTGTCGTAGGATCAGTCAGTACTCCTCTCCAGCAAAAAATAACGAAGCACCACCCACATGGTCGCATCATCGGCCTCCCTCTCTCTCCGCGTAGCTTCATCGCCTTCAAGTCCCTGCGCTTCCAACTCGGCCAGTCTCTCCTTGAGCATCTCTAGCTCGCCTTCCAGCCTCTCGCTCTCAATCTCCAGCTCTGTTGCGGCCTTGGCGATCCGGAATTTCTTCGTGTCAAGCTCGACCATCTGCGCAGCGTGCTTTGCCGAGTCGTGTGCCGACACGGCCTCCTCATGTTGCGCGGTCAGGGCGTGCAAGTTGCGAGAGAGTTTACGGAGCGCCGACTCGGCATCGCGCATGCGCAGCTCGCGAGATTGTTGCAAGGTAGATAGGGAGTCATTGATGCGTGTGACGGCTTGTTTGTCTGGTTGAATGTTGAAGTTGCCGATGGTGTGGTGGATGAGCTGTGTTTGTTAGTCTTAGTCCGCAGAAAAAACATGTACCAAGACATACCGTCGCGGGGTCCTCGTCGAGCAACATTATGTATGATGGAGAAAATGCCACAACCGGTCGTTCTGTTCTCTGAATTGTCTTGATGAATTACCAGAGAAAGATGGACTGTTGATGGTTCCCGTTGGGGGAGCAACAGCCACAGCGCCACACGTGTGCTGACACAGCCACATGTTGGTGGGTGACGAAACATTGTGATGGCCTGCTTGATGTGGAGTTGACTGGACTAGATGCTTCTTCACTTAGTCACAGACAATCACTCGGTTGAGGTTTCTAATCTGCTTTTATAGCAATATACCCAGTGTCTTTACCATAACCCGGTCTAACACTCTCACGAATATCACTACCCTACGATGGGATCCAACCTACCATGTATGTTTTGTCCAGGCTGCAATCATTTTGCGGGAGTATATCAAACTGACCACCTTGCTTCCTAGATGCTGCGGACGCTGAAAGGTTAGCATTATCCGGCTCTCGAACGCTATGCCCTCGCTAAATTACGTGATTCCAGTCCGTTGAAACCAGCAGAGCTCCAAGTCTTGCGGGCCCAGTACGAGAAGGAGGGCGACTATGTTGGAATCCAGACGAAATTCAACTACGCATGGGTATGTCGGCTACTATTTCTGTTTCTGGTCGACCGACTGACAAGATAGGGCTTGATCAAATCCCACGCTCGGGCGGATCAACAAGAGGGCGTCCGTCTCCTATCAGAAATCTTCCGCGCATCCCCAGAGCGACGACGTGAATGTCTCTACTACTTGGCTTTGGGAAACTACAAGCTCGGAAACTACGGTGAAGCCCGGCGATACAATGATCTGCTCCTGGAAAAGGAGCCGGGGAACCTGCAAGCCGCCAGCCTCGGCTCGCTGATCGATGACAAGGTCTCCAAAGAGGGTCTGATGGGCATCGCGATTGTGGGTGGCCTGGCTCTGGCGGCCGGAGTAGTAGGCGGTCTTATCTTCAAGGGTGCCGCAAAGAGACGATGAACGGAGTTGGCTCTTGGTTTTGAAAGTCGTGTATATATCATGGTTCTCTTACTCTTTTGTCCGGGCTTTATTTAGCATATGAGGCGTTTGTCTGTTGTTTGAGCGCAGGACCACTGGGATATTTTTAATCCTTCGAGAGATGCTGGATGAATTTTGTGTACAGTGCTGTCTGTTGTCTGTGTTGGTACCTGAATCCAATGCAATAATCAAGTGTCTAGAGTGTGGCTGGCTGGGGGACTGAGAGGCTGTTAGTCCGCCACTCGGTGAATCAGCAGTCAACGTCATCCGCCGCCGGACATCGGCCTGTTTGTTCGTCTGACGTGCTCCACTTACTCTGCTTCCTTGGCCTCGTCTATTGCATTCCTTTGCATTCATTTGCTCTTCTTTTATCTTTGCATAAGGTCATTCTCATGGAGATAATGCATAGCTTCACCTGGTGAAGGAAAACAACACCCTGCTGTCAATATGTTTCTGGATGATTCAGAGATCCTAAGGAATAAGACACGCGAGCTTCCAACTGTCTGACCTGCCGGTACTCTTTCATCTTTTCTACCTCTAGGTACTTACATAGTTACTTCATCGGATCCTTCTCAACATCTGTTAGACTTTTCTTCCTTCTCATAACGTCATGGACAACGTTGCTATGGCTAATGCGGGGGACCGCATGTTCTGTCATGCATGTGGTGGAGTTTGGCTGAAAAACGCTGCTAATGGGTTGGACTGTCCTCACTGCCAGTCCGATTTTACAGAGATTGTGCGCACCTCGGTCACTTGCTCTCTGTCTCGAACCTTTGCTAATCGTCGATATCAGATTGAAATCCCGCCTGATACAGAAGACCCCTCCTCTCGACCCACGAATGACTCCCCACCCCGCGAAGAGAGTAATCAACCCAACGTCAATCCTTGGGCCGATCATAACCCCTGGGCAAATGAAGAGGACTATGGAGGTGACGACAACGCGTGGCGGCCAGGTTTCTCACGTCGTACATACAGGTCCCCCGATGGCCGGTTTACTTTCACAACTACTACCACCACTTTAGGTGGTGGCGGCTTCCACATTGGCCGATCTATGGACCAAAGGCAAATGCCCATAGACCCGTTGATGCCGGTGGTGCGCAGCTTGGATACTATTTTCCATGGGTTGGCCGACACCTACCGGCATGGCCAGAATCAGAATCAGAATCAAAACCAAAACCAAAATCGGAACGCCACAGGTCAGGGAAATGAGACAGACGCCGACGAGCATCGTGCGCGGAGCGAGTCACCCGAATTCCGTGCAACTGGCAGGCTATTTGCGCGAGATGCGGATGGTCCGCAGCCGATGGCACCACCTTTGGGCACCCTAGGCGAGTATGTAGCCATTTTCCTTGTAGTCGTTTATTGTCCATGGCTGACTTGCTTGATAGTATCCTCGAACTGTTTCGCGCCGACTTTGGGGGCGGTATGGCAGGTGGAGGAGTGCGTGTGATGACTGGTCCGAATCCACTGGCCATGCTCTCGACTCTGCTCAACTTCGACCGACACGGAGATGCGGTGTACTCGCAGGAGGAACTGGACCGGGTTATTTCGCAGTTGATCGACCAGAATATTAATCGAACTGGGGCTCCCCCGGCTCCGCAAAGCGCTATTCAGGCCCTGCCGAAGAAAAAAGTCGATGAGGAGATGCTAGGCAGCGATGGCAAAGCAGAGTGCTCGATTTGCATGGAGCAAGTCGAATTAGGCACGGAGGTCACTGTCTTGCATTGCAAACACTGGTTTCATTATCCCTGCATTGAAGCCTGGTTAAGCCAACATAACACATGTCCGCATTGTCGCAGGGGGATTGATATTCCACAGTAAGTATTTTTTCAAAGGGTGGTCAAATAGTGATACTGACCGATTCACAGAGCTGAAGGAACCAGGCAGGATCCTGTTGTCATTAACGACAGTCCTGAACCTCCATCTCCCGAGCGCCGTCGTAGTAGTGGTCCAGCTCAGCATAGCGGACAGGCCCCTCCCACATGGGGGGAACATCCGTCGTGGAACACTTCAGAATCAAACGAGCAACATCGAGGTCAGTCCAGTCACAACGAAGGTAACGAACATAATCAAGGACAATTCGGTCACAATGAAGGTAGCGGCAGCGGAGGGTTTACCGGGTGGGTTAGGAGTCATTTTGGGGGCAGCTAATCGCTCTTCATGGAAGCATCCAGCATCCGACTTTGGGTTGATCAGTCCTTTATAGGCTACGGTTTCCTAGTTACATTGCGTCTGACTGGTGATGATTTTCCTTATTCTTATCCTGGGCTTGATTAGCATGAGCATGGATGGAATGAGCCCATGCATTGATGTAAATACCGAAACCAGCATTGGGGAATATATCCTCAGCACCATCCGATACCACCAGAGTGTCTAGTGTCAGCAGCGACTCCAGCATCAGTCTCATTCAATCCCGATCTATCATTTGACTGAACACAGTAGTGAACTGAACAATTCAACCCTTTGAATTAGGTTTGTTCATGGATTATTCTCCACTACACGAAGCTCCACTGTCCCCGCCCCCGCCACGCCTTGTGAAAGACATAGCCTGGACATAGCTCCTAGTAGACTGTATATACGAGTGATTTTCCTTCCACATATCTTTTTTCCATGCATTGACATTATCCCCATCGTCCAAAATACAATATGAAAACTGTCTTCACCAATGGCCTTATCGTCCGAGGCAACGGGAGCTCGCAATCTGAGCCCGTCCTGGGCTGCATGGTCGTCGAAGACGACAAGATCGCATACATAGGCGCTGAGAACGACGAGCCCGTCGCACAGGCAACACAAGCTCCAGGCGTCGAGATTGTAGACTTGCAAAGGCGAACCGTTATCCCAGGGTTTATTGATGGGTATGTCTGCCCCAATTCATCTTCTATAAGAATGCTACACTACGCTACGGCTGTGCTTCGCTCCGCTCCGCAACTAACAAATGATAAGACACATGCACCTCCTCCTCTTCGGCGCGGGGCTCTCCAAAATCGACCTCGGACACTGCAAATCCCTCTCCGACATCCGCGCGACCATCAAGGCCGCCGCCGCACAGCGCCCGCACGCCCCCGTCTCTTCTGCAGCGGGTGGATGCACTCCATGACAGACGGCCAAGCGCTAGCCAGCATGCTCGACGATCTCGACCCGCGGCCCATCTTCATCGACTCCAAGGACCTGCACAGCGCGTGGTGCAACACCGCCGCGCTGCGCGAGCTCGGCGTCGCGGACACGCCCGACCCAGCGGGCGGGATCATCCACCGCGGAGAAGATGGCACGCCGAGCGGGTTACTCTCCGAGGCGGCGGCGGTGAATATCGTGTGGCCGCATGTGGCGCGGGTCGCGACGGCGGAGGAGAAGATGGGGTTTGTGCGGAGTGCGGTGCGCGCGTACAATGCGGCGGGGTATACGGGGTGGTGGAGATGGCGACGGACGAGAACGTGTGGGGGACGATGCTGGCGCTGCGACAGACAGAAAATGCGGTGTCGCTGCGGCTGGCGGCGCATTGGATCATTACCCCCGCGGCGACGGTGGACGAGTGTCTGGCGCAGGTGGACCGCGCGATCGAGCTGCATGCGGTGTACAATGCGACCTCGTCGCCGGATTTCCGCATCGCGGGGATCAAGGTCATTTGCGATGGGGTGGTGGATGCGTGCACGGCGGCGCTGCTGCAGCCGTATGCTGCGCAGGCTGCTGGTGATGGGCAGGTGAACTGCGAGCCGCTGTGGCCGGCCGACATGCTGCGGGCCGTAGTGGCCAAGGCGGACGCAGCGGGCCTGCAATGCGCGCTGCATGCGATTGGCGACGCGACGGTGCGGCTGGCGATTGACACGCTGGCGGCGGTGGGCACGCCCGGCCGGCGCCATCGCATCGAGCACCTGGAGCTGACGGCGCCCGAGGACGCGGCGCGGCTGGGCCAGCTGGGGATCACGGCCTCGGTGCAGCCAGTACATGCGGACCCGGCGATCCTGCGGGCGTGGCCGCGACTGCTGGGCGAGGAGCGGTGCGCGCGCGCATTTGCATATGCCGAGTTTGCGGCCCATCGTGCGCCGCTGGCGATTGGGACGGACTCGCCGACGGCGCCGCATCTGCCGCTGAGGAATCTGTATACGGCGACGACGCGGCGGTCGGCGCGGGAGCCGGAGTCACCCGTAGCGGTAAACCCGCAGTTCAAGCTGTCGCTGCTGCAGGCGGTTTCGGCGGCGACGGCCGGGTCGGCGTACTCGTGCTTTGCGGATGGGTTCACGGGGAGTCTGGAGGTCGGGAAGAAGGCGGATTTTGCGGTTGTGGAGATGGAGTGGGAGGCCGAGAAGCTGCTCGAGGCGTCGGTGTGCGAGACATACTTTGATGGACGGAGGGTGTACAGCCGTTCCTAGGCAGTTGCTGACACAAGCAGTTCATGTAGATATATACCTAAAAGCCCCATATATACACGTAGGATATCACAACTTTGGCTCGGCAAACTTCTTCACCAGCTTGTTGCATAGCTCGCTCAGCACACCCGCAACCCACTCGAAATCGCTCTTCTCCAGGTAAACCTGCGCACTCAGCCGGGTCCACAGCCAGCCCCCATGCGCAAACACAGGCACAAAGGTCCCATAGTCCCGCGCCAACGCCTTCTGTATCTCCCCAGCAACCTCCGCGACCTGCGCAGCCTGCAGCGTCAATCGAGCCGAGGCCTTCTTCGGGTCCTCTTCACCGCCAGACACGGCAAACGGCAGTCGCACCGTCGCCATGGCGCAGCGGCGCAGCTGACTGACCTCTCCGGGCTTCAAGCCGGGCTCCTGCATCACCTCTGTGCCCAGCGCCGCGGCAACAATGTCCCCGGCCTCCAGCGCCAGCTTCTCCAGGTAAGCGTAGATGCGATCCTCGCCGCCGCAGACCTGGGAGCGGAATTTCAGCGCCGCAGGAACACACAGGTACGCCGTGTCGTCGGTGGTTGCGACGAACTCGAAGAGCTCCTCGAAGGCGGACTTGCCCGAGCTGCTGCGCATGAGCGAGGGCGGGTGGCGGGGGAGTCCGGGGATGGGATGAAGCCCCAGGAGGTGGGGAGAGTAGTCCGGATGAGATGTTGGTTGCGAAGGGGACGTAGAGGATGGCGCTGCCCCGGGGGTATACAGCCACCTAATCATATCAATCAATATTAAACAACTCGAGTCAAAAGGTTGAGAAAACTCACTTGTGACAATTCGTCGTAAGGAAATCCGGCTGCAAAGCCCCCAGATCCAGGGGAATCTGCCCGATACCATGCGCCCCGTCCACAACACTCAAGATGCCCTCGGCGCGACACGCCTCGATCAACCGCTCAAACGGGAACCGCACACCAGGCATACTGACGATCGTATCAAACACCGCAACACGAACCTTCAATCCCTCCGCCTTCGCCTTGGCCACGACATCCAGGAACCTCCGCACAAGCTCGTCATGGCTAATGGGGAGCTGGTACTGGACCTTGCGCAGCTGCAGCGGCGTGGTCTCCACCAGCGAGACAAGGGTCTTCTCGACAGCGCCGTAGACGGTGTCAAAATACACCACCACATCGCCCTCCTTGAAAACAAGGTTGCGCAGCACGGTGTTGATGCCCGTCGAGGCATTCTTGACGAACACGCACTCGTTGGTGGGCACATTGAGCAGCGAGGCCACGGCGCGGCGGGCTTCGTCTATCAGTTGGGGCTGGATGTGCCGGATGAACGGGTCCGGACGGGCCTCGACTTGAGATTGGAAGTGTTGCAGTGCAGTCTGCACCGCAATGGGATATGTGCCGAACGAGCCTGTGGGTTGTTAGTCGGGTAGAATTCAGTTTGTTGCGAGGGAACCTGCCATGGTTGAGGTTTTTGAAGTCGGGGTCAAACAAAAAGTGTGATTTTGCCATAGAGGCACCAAAGGGGGCGGGAGCAGACATTTTGTTTAGGAAGAATCCCTATAGTTAGAAGCTTGAGCGAATTGAAAGGAACGGCAGAAACAGCGGAGGACAAGAGAAGATAAACAACTCCGAACGAATACGAGGACTTGGGATGGAGTCAGTCACTCAGAAGGCGCCAGTGAGTCATCCACACCTACGCCCTATTGATAACACGCGATATGATAGTTACAGTAGTACACCGACTCTTCGCAATTACAAATCGATTCGGCTCAATTGATACGATCAGTTACCATGAAGGGTGTATGTGGCAGCACAATCGTGGTACTGCGGATATCATCGGATTTCGAACAACACAACCACCAGATAATCATAATGCGGACACTGTCAATGAGAAACCCTAACAAGTGGCACAGGACGCAATTGGCTCTATTGATACAGATGTATCGACGATTTATTCTAATAGATTACACAAGCAAAAGACAAGCCCAGCTGCGGACAACGCGCATACCCAAATAGGCCGTAGATCTCATATCTACACACCAGAACAACAGGATACTGGTCGATCAAGTATTCTCGACATCACACAGCCCATGTGCAGGTTCATCAATCACCGCTTGCCCTTCTTACGTGGGGCCACCACCTTGAACGCTGCGTTGCTGCTCTCTTCTTCGCGGTGCACATTGGACGACCCCTTCTTGGCCACTTCACTCCATCCGCCTCCGGCAGCATTCTTCTGGTCCGCAAGGGCGCTGGGTGCCACTGGGTCAACAATGCCCTTGTCCGCTAGCTTACGACGGCGAATGAACTCCTCCGCAAATCGCCGACCATCTAGCGTCTGCGAGTTAGCATACACCGAGTCCGAGATGATCTCCGCCTCGGCGGGCAAGAGGAGCAATTGTTGCACGAAGTCATCCACTACATCACATTAGTTGTTTGCTTTCAATGACGCGTAGATTGTATAACTTACCATTGATGTTGCTGTTCAGCCCCTTACCCAAAGACAACTTGGCCCATTTGGTAAACTCCTCCAGAGCGCGGTTGGCGTTTGATGGCGGGGCGCTACCAACGGCCACAGGGCGGGGAGAGGCAACGGGTACGGCCCGGGGCTTCGCGGGCGATGCGGCCAATGGAACATTACCGCTGGAAGCGCGGGGACCAGATGGTGCGGCAGGGGGAGGCTTGGGCTTGCCGCCGGCGCCCACGGTAGTCCAGGCACCGGAGCTGACTGCGGCAACGGGGGCTGTCGCAGGAGCCTTGCTGGCGAGATCTGCATACCGCTTGCCGGTCGAGGAGGTCGCGGGTGGAGAAACAGCTGCGGTCTGAGCAGCCACTGCCGCTGCCGCCAGGCGCTGCTTGCGGGCTTCCTCTTCCTTTTGGATCTGAGCAAGCGTCTTCTTCGCTCCACCAGCTGTGGTAGTGGCTTGACCCTTGTTGCTCCAAACGGAACCGGTGGACGTCGGGGTAGCAGGAGATCCAGCACTGGCCCAGTTAGCGGTGGATGGAAGACCAGGGGCCTGCGCTTGCGCTTGGCTCAAACGCTCCTGCTCGGCAAGGAGTTGGGCACGACGAGCGGCAGCAGCCATCTCTTCCCTCTGAGCAGCATTACGAGCCTCCGCCTCTTGAATCTCCTTCAACGAAGGTCCTTTGGGCACTTCGTTACCCCCTCTGGCCCAAGGCGCGATGGATGTGGTGGGAGCCTCGACAGGAGTCTGTGTCTGGGACCGCGAGTTCGCTGCCAGGGACTCGGCGACATTCTGACGGTTGCGCTGTGCGGCAGGAGCGGGGAGTGGCGATGCAGAAGGCGGAGGAGGCATAGCGGTGTCATCTTTGGTTCCCCACACGGAATCGGCTTGAGATTGCTCATTCTGCTGCTGCTGCTGCTGCTCCTGTTGTTCCTGCTGCTGCTGTCTCTGAGCGGATGCAGCTTTCTGGACTTGTTGAGACAGAGTGAGCGGGGCTTCCTCGCTTGGAGCGGTGCCCTGGTCAACACCAGAGCTGGTACCGGTCTTCTGAGGAGAACCAATGGGTGCGAATTCCTGCTGTTGGGAAGGCTCGGCAGCATGGTGGGAAGGAAGGCCTTCAGCACTTTGCATGCCGAAATCGCCTTCCTGCGCTCTCAGTGCATGAAACTGACGAAGCCGGTCTTCGCGGGCCTGCTGCTCGAAAAGGCTGTCTCCCTGAGCAATGTCAAACTGTTCTTGTTCCTGCTGCAGCCGGGCACGGTCTTGCAACATCGTGGCTACTTGTTGGGAATGAAAGAGATTGTCCGGCTGGCGAGCCGCAAAAGACGACGGGCTACCAAAGGCGAACGGATCTGGGCGACTCATGTTCAAGCGATCAAGGAGAGGCGCAAGCTGATGTGGGCTATTGACCAGATCGGTTCCCACCATCTGCGGCCCCTGCCTCAATGGTGCTGCTGCATCGAAAAAGCCGGCCACAGACTGGGGCGGCTGCTGCTGCATTGGCCCCTGAATCGGAGATGGCTGGAATCCAATGGGCGAAGCAATGCTTCCAAAGCTAGGCTGGCTGTGAAGGCTGTGAGCGCTGGAATGATGCTGAAGTTGAGGGTGGATGCCAGGATGGACGGCGCCTTGCAACTGCATCTGCTTCATCATCGCCTGCTGCTGAGCGAGGTGCTCCTTCTGTCTGGCCATCAAATACTGTTCCTCTTGCTTCCGACGCTCCAGAGCGTTCTGCTGCTCGGCGGTCAAAGTGGTACCAAAACTCGGGAAACTGCCAGGGAAGGGAGGCTGCGCGGTACCGGTGGTGGTTCCGGTCCAAGGAGCACTACCGCTGGGGTCGGGTCCATGAGGAATTCCGATCTGAGGGACGAGGAAAGGTTCTCGTGAGTTCCCAATGCGTCGCACCAGCTGCGCCAATGGTTCAAACTCTGGATCTTCGAGCTTCTTGATCTGCAGATCGGGACTGAAGAAGCCAGCCTTGAACCAGTCGTGCATTTCCAACCCGGTCCATGGTCCTTGAATGTTACCCTGAGGATCACGGTAAATCCAGCGCATTCGGTCGGGCATCACCATGGTCCGTTGTTGAGCAGGAGGCACAGACCCAGCGTTGCTTCCGGACTGACCGGGAGTTTGACCCGGTTGTGGTGCTTCGGAAGCCATAGAGGCCGGAACGGAACCGATCGCAGAGACAGGAGTCTGGGACGTCGAGGTCGTCGTCGGCTGACCAGCTTTGTCTCCCGGTGACACTTCTTCAGAAGAGGGTTAGTGCATGGAAAATTTATATACAGCATAGTTAGACCTACCTTGATGATGAGGACCATCCTCCAAACTGCCTTGTCTGACTTGATCCCCTTGCATTTGCTCCTGCATTGCCGGGGGAAATAGAGAGCCTAGCTTGCTGGAGCGGCCAATGCTGCCGGTACCCGTAATACCAGGGCTGAAGATGCCGCCGCCTCCCAGCGTTGACAGACTAGGCGACTGGAGATCAGCCATCGTGCCGAAGATGGGATCGCCGAACCCGGTAGAGAAGGCGGACCTCTCTCGAGTAGGAGTCCCAACAGCGCCAGAAGACCAAGCCGAAGCGCCTCCAAGAGTTGGAAGACCGCCGAGACCGCCCAGACCAGAAAAGCTGCGGTTGCCCGCGGCACTGGAAGTCTGACTTCGGTCGATAGAAGGCAAATCCATTCCCGACCCTATTCTGCGAATCGAGCCAAATGGGCCGGACGTATCTCGAAGACCGGAGAGACCAGGGTGATGGGTATTTTGAATGTCCGATCCGTCGGTCTCGACATCGTCAGCGTCGATCCGTTCGCCGTGCGGGCTTTGGTAGGGATTGGTGTTCGTGGGGCTAGTAGGCTCCTGGCCTGGGAGCAAGCTCGGCGTGGGGTTGCGAGAATTCTCGTGGCTCTGCATGAGCTCTCTGAAGCCCGGAATACTGGATGTCATTCCAAAGGCGGAGAAGCCCAGCTGGTCCGCGGTTTGAGACGGCGCGCTCGCGTCCTGAGATCCCCCAAGGGCAGCGCTACCACTGCGAGTCTCCTCTGCGAATGGGTTAGTCTCACTGCGGCCAGTGCGCGTCTTGACAGTTTCCCCCAGGGTGACTGCGAGCGTTTCTCCCCCTGTTCTTCGGCCAAACGTTCCAAGTTGCTGAGGGACGGCTTCTCCTTGATGGAGGCTGAAATATCCTCTGAGCTATCCTTGGAGAATAAGCCCTTCAGGCGACTCTCCCCGCGTACACTTCCGAAGCCCGGTTTCTTCTCCGTGGTTGGAGTTTGAGAAGCGCTCGTTCCCAACGAGAAAGCCCCAAAGGCACCCATGGGCGAGAAGCTAGCGCTCTGCGAAGCGGCACCCCATGGAGAGCTTGGTGCCCCGGTCGCAGCAGCCGTAGGATTGGTAGCGCTCCGTTTCAGAGAACCAAACGGAGAGGCCACTTCTCCAGAGCCACCATCACGGGTAGGAGCTTCCTTATCCTTCTGATCCCACTTGGAGGTAGACGTAGTCTCGCGAAAATCGGTTTTGCGGCGCAATAGAGACGCAGGCGGGGTAGAGGTAGACGGCTCGTCGCGGAAGAAACGGGAGCCACCGGTGGTCGGAGACATGGCGTTACTCACAGAATCGCCGGTTTCCCGACGCCTAGGGCCAGGGCGCGCGGAGCTGGGGGAAGAGGTGCTGTAGTTGTTCATGTGGCTCTGAGGATACGAAATGGATGACTTGCGTCCTCCAGTGACAGCACCGGTATTCTCCTTGGTGGCACTAGTTGGGGGAGGCTTGAGCGGGGAGTTGACCGAAGCGGAAAATAACTACACGATTCAGCACGGCACTTTCCAACATGAATCAAAGGGCGATCTTCAGGTGTTCAGAACCAAGGGGCACACAAAGACAAGACCAACCTCTTTCTCATCATCAGTCATATCCACTAAGCCCAGAGGCTCCACCTGCCCGCCGTGATCCCAACAAATCTCAGGTCCCGAGGGATTATCCTTGGAATCCTCTCGCTTTCCCCATGCTCCGTTGGTGGGCGGAGTCTCCACGTGAGGGTTCCAGTCGGCGATAAAGTAATCCGCAACGTTTTTACCGAGAGCACCCGACTCACGCTGAGCTTTGTAGAGACTCAACAGTTGTTCTTTTGAATAACGATTCTCGCCGGCCCCGTTGCGGAGTGCGCTGGATTGATTTGAGGTCATGTGTGAGGGAGTATAAGCACCGACCGTCGGATGCGTAGCAGATGTAGTTTGAGGGATGTCTCGCGCTTGAGGAGGGTTCGTTGCGACTGACGGACGGCGGAAAGTCTGTGTTGCTCCGTTCATGCGAGTTCGAGGCCTGGTAAAGCAAGGGTATCAGTTGTCAAAGAAAGTTTCAGGTTAAGTAAGGACACGTCCGCGGGGAGAGGGATAGAGAAGGAAAGCATATGAATATGTGTTATTGATAGAGAATGCTCAGAGGACATAAGACATGGTTGCATACCATTCTCCACCGGCAGTTCCGTCACCTCTCCTGCTGGAAGCGTCCTGAGTATTGCCAGCAGCGGCCGAAGCAAAACTCGAAGGAAGTGGCGTAGGCATTATGGAAACAATGGCTGACTGATGAAGGTAAATCACCGGTTCAGCGAAGAAGAGGGAGTCAAGTCAAGGCAAAACTCGATCGCGTGAGAGAGTTTGTTCTCAGTGTGTTCTGGTGGCGGATTGGGAAAGTTGAAGGGAACGTTTGCGTGGGAGAACGACGCACGACACGAGAGCAAAAGAGTAGGTAGCTAGAAGAAGACTAGTCGATCAGTAACCGACCGGAGAAGCTGTAACAAGATGTATTGGAGGGCGACAATTGAGGAAGCTGTTGGCACAAACCTTTCTCTTTTTAAAATGAGGGAGACTGTTTATTCCTTGGGGGAAGAGGATAGAGCAACGATGCAGGTCAAGATCAGGAAGATCGAGTAAAGTCAGTCGCAGAGAGAGTCTCAAGGTGGAAGTTCCTGGCTGCTGTGAAAAATGGGCGAGGCGGCGGGCGAATGGCAGGCAGCGCGTGGAATTATCACACGGGTCTTCTCACTGCCTGGGTGTCTGGGGGCTTGGGCTGTTTTCGTTGCCAGCCACTTTTACGCGGTTTTACCATACAGGGCATCCACAAACGCACAAAGAATGGGTACAGCGTTACAGGTACCTTACTTTCCTACCTAAGGTACCTACCTAGGTCAGAAGTATCAAGTCAATTAGAGGATATTGTGAGGAGACGTGTATGTAGGACTAGCATGAGATCATAACTGAGTCGTACATCTATCATACGATATAGATGACTATGATTGATTAGATTTCATCTCAGGAACGTCAGCGTCGAAGCTACTGCTATCTATCCACCAGCCTTGAATCGGCAGGTGATCGGTGTATGGCATGAGTAAACGACTATCCACAGTGCGTGGGCATAACCCTTCCAGACAAACCTATATTGTCCTACTGCCACGTCCATCGCGTCACTGGTGCTGTCGAACGCCGCCTTTAATTACAGTCTGTATGAACGCCTCAAGATGGCTGGACTCCCATGAAGATGCAATATTTCGTTTGTTTGGAACAAAGGGTGGAAGGGCAAGAGATGTTTATGGTGCATAGTATTTATGGTGCATCCTTTTATTCAGACGCAGAAGGGATGCAAGGTATGAAGGCAAGGTGGATGGCATTTACCGGTCATACATCCAACATGCCTCAGCATCACCAACCTCCGCGTCTGATGTTGAAGCCTCAGGCACCGTATCCTCATGACAGAGTCTTTGTCTGGCAGCAATCATCAGTCAATGAGATAGGTCTCTAGGATTTGGAGCTCTGTGTTCGTCTGTTGTCCGTTTGCTGAAAGACTTGTAGCATGACCACCTCCACAATACCGCTGCCGGTCTGGATATATATATATATCTCAGGCATGCTCCTGAGCCAAAGAGCAAATCTCTCCACCACAACACATCGGTATCTTCCAAGATGAAGCAAGACAAGACCTCTATGCCATATGCCTGGTACTGGCACGGCAAACCCCTCCGTACGGGTATTGCACAGGGAGAGAAGATCGGACCCGTCTGTACCGGGTCACATATCCTCCAGACTTCCGACCACTGTACGCCTGATCGACCATGCTGTCCTGCCAATATCCCGGACAGATCATCATGTCCCTGCGGACACGGACATGGGCATGGACATGGTAGCAACGCCGAAAACCACCACTGGATCCCAGAGCAGCCACCGCAGAACCCCAACTCCTGCTCTCCTGGAGTGCAACGACGAAGACATTGCGGTCCGGAAGGCCAACAGGATCAGATCCCTCGCTGCTCCGCCCCGACTTTCACCTGTCAAGGCTGTCCGCACGACACTCCCCGCCCAGAGCCCTGCCCTCTAGACAGATGCTGCATAGCGGAAAACACCTGTCTCCCGGGGGATCCATACTGCCAGACTCCCCAAGACATGGCGTACCCAGCAAGCAGATGTAACTTCTGCTCCAATCCCAAGCCTGAAATGCACTGCGGCGACTCAACGAGAACGAGGAACCAGCATCAGTCCGAACCGGTAAAGTGTCAACAGAGCTTCACTCGGTTCGAGAGCTGTGATCGCTTCGACTGCTGTGAGGATACCTTCTTCAGCAAATGTGAGTATTCGACCGAGGAGTCGATGGAGACGGGTCACGGCCACGGACACGGCCAGGACACCGACTTTGAGACGAGGTCTTATCATCGGCGTCGTCCGTGGGTGAATCATCAGCTACATCGCAAGTATTAGTTTGGATTCCGTTTACCATGATGTCCGCTGTGTTAGTGTGAGATTGAGGGCGATTTGTGAGGTTGGCAAGCAATTTAGAAGATATGCAGGATTCTTCTTAAACACTTAAGTAGTTGGAGTACTCCTGGTAACCCATTGTCGATTGAGCTGAACAACTGTAGGATACGGAATGCTGAGATCTAGCTTTCGTAATTCTATTCCCGGACTCTTATTTCTGCATAGCTATAGCCGTGGTGTTTTGACAAATAAATATTGACTTATCGAACAAAGGTTGTTGAAATTGCATAGCTACTGTGTACTTCTGACTACCATAAAATTGGTAATGCCATGGCGCAGAATAAAGATCATATCATCGCTTGCGACAGCCTCGCCCACACAATCACCACAACTCCGTCCAGCCTCGGTTATCGATAACGACTGTCATCGTCGTCATCCCCGCACGGATTACTGATCATCGATGTGCGTTGGGGTAGAATTTTCAAACCTCAAATTTCCAATTCTCTCTTCCATTGCTGTCACTTATACGTACTGAACTGGCAGACACTCATAATAGCGTCACAATGTCAAAAGCAATCTTCATGTCCCAAGTGGACGGCAGACCCGGCCAAGTCTACTACCCCCTCTCCGTCCAGACATTGCCTTTGCCGACACCCCAGGGGCGCGAGCTCCTGGTAAAAATGACTGCGGCCTCACTCAATCATCGTGATGTTTTCCTGCGGCAACATCTATACCCGGGTGCCACTTTCGATGTTCCCCTCGGCGCAGACGGGGTGGGAGTGGTTGTCGGCGCTGGCCCCGATGTAACAAATCCCGAACGGTGGCAGGGCAGGCGAGTGATTCTGAACCCTGGGACGGGCTGGAACGATTCTCCGGACGGACCGGAAGATCCCAAAGGCTATCGCATCATGGGCGGAACAAAGGTCTACAACAAGGGTACACTGCAGGAATACCTCACCATTGAAGAGTCCGAGGTGGAAGAAGCTCCCGAGCATCTGTCGGATGCGGAAGCCGCTGCGTTGCCATTGACTGGATTGACGGGGTGGAGAGCATTGGTGGTCAAGGCGGGCGAAAGGAATTCTGGCAAAGGCGCGGCTGTCTTGATCACGGGGATTGGCGGTGGCGTTGCGCTGATGGCTCTCCGTTTCGCGGTGGCAAGGGGTGCGGATGTCTATGTGACCAGTTCGAGCGAGGAGAAGATTCAAAAAGCCGTGGCACTAGGCGCCAGAGGTGGTGTGAGCTACAAGGAGGATGGATGGGAGAAGAACCTTTTTGGTATGCTTCCCAGCGGCAAGCGGAACTTTGACGCCATCATCGATGGTGCAGGTGGTGACTCTGTCGAGAAGGCAACCAAGTTGCTCAAGGTATGATTGTTCAACTACGCGTCACCCTGGAGCCCGACTGACTGAGACAGGCTGGTGGTGTCCTCTCCGTTTATGGAATGACCGTGTCCCCCAAGATGCCTTTCCTGATGCAGGCTGTTTTGAAGAACATTGACGTGCGAGGCTCTACCATGGGCTCCCGCAAGGAGTTCAAAGAGATGATTGATTTCGTCAAGGCGAACAAGATCCATCCAGTGATTTCTCGCGTCGTGCAGACCGATCTGGGCGATGTCGAGGGACTTGACAGTTTATTCCAGGACATGAAAGAAGGAAAGCAATTCGGGAAGCTGGTAATCGAGTTCGGAAAGTCTTCAGGAAGCAAGCTATAATCTGGCTTCAGAAGACTTTGACGCACGTCTCTAACTGAATAGACGGGATAAAGTACATAGCTCACGAATGATGATATTAAACTGTGCCTTCCATGTAGTGGGTGGCTCTTGCCTTGGTACCTCCAACACAATTGCAGCACTATAGCTAGCAACAAATCATACAAACCAAGAGTTCATCAGCATCACAAGCTCAGCGTTCAGCGTACATGAGCGACGGACAATCATTCCTTTAACAGCAGCTTATCGTGTTCAGCAGTCTAGTCATTCATTCCTTAACATCTATCACAGTAAGAAGCAAGAGCCACTGAGCGCCGACCGCGTCACCATGAGTCTCAGACTCCGACCATACGAGCCCAGCATGTCCCCCGATCTATCCATCTCCCAATCAACATTGGACCCCGAATCATCTCTCTCCTCAGTCGAGGTGAGTAGAGCCCACACAAACCAGAACCCACAGACTGACGACCTTCTTCGCAGAGATACTCCGCAGCACTGGACGCCCTGAACGCCAGCAACCATAACCTCGAATACAAGCTCGCCAAGATCCAAGCCCGCAATCTGCGCCTCAAGCTTGACCTGATGAGACTCCAACGACACATTACGTCGTTTCATCACGATCTCCTCGCTACCTGGGAAGCCGACATCCTGACGAGCCTTATCGAGGTGGTTTACCAACGGCAAGGTCGGAAACTGCACCGCGGACACGACATCGACCTAAGAAGGCTCGACCGGAAGGCTCTATCGATGATGTATACCATAGCAGCGGGGAGAATCGGCAGGAGGGCGCTTAGGAATTTGTTCGGTCTGTCGCAGCATTATTGGTTAGCGTTGCAGAAGTACGATGAGGTGAGAGGACTCAGATTCGTAGTGTCTGTCTGTTGCTCTGTCTGATTGAGCAGATTGCGCATCTGCGAAGTACGAGTCCTTCTCGTACGGAGGGCACGTTTGCTCGATGGTTGATGACGGAAAGGGAGACGAATCCTAAACGAGCGGGTTTCTGGGCTAGATTGTTTCCTGTTTGTTATGGTAGGACTGTGGAGGAGAGCTCGAAGATGGTGTGAGAATGGTGTTTGGGGACAGGACGACGGAGAGTGTAGCTGATGTGGATGTGTCTTTCCTTTTGATACAGTAGATAGAGAGTATTGCTATGCTTATTTACAGGATTAGTTGGGTTGCTTTTTGAGTCTCAGCTCGATGTCTAAGATGACTCGCCGTCAGGAGTCAGTCAAACCAGATTATGGTGAGCGTGGCCGGGTGGAGGCAAGCTTTTTCTAAGGGACTGTTTCAAGTCAGGCAGTAGGATACTCTGCAGAACTACGACTTGTACATGGTCAAGAGAGTTGTAATAGTATATTCTCAGCAATTCAGAATAGCTTTAACATCATCCATTCCAGAGCCCGAACACCAGCTTCCTCAAAATCATACAAATGCCACTCAGTACATGCTAAAAACCGGAAAGATTATTGCTGGAAACAACCCTGGGACACCACCTTCTACACACGCAAGCCCAGCGACAGAGAATCGACGGACAGCCTGCTGTTCTGGGCAGGCAAATGTGAAACTAGTGCATGGCGGTTGGACCTTGAGAACTCCATCCATTCGCCGATTATGAAATCACCATTCGGTGCCCGCGGAAAGTTGAGGAAGTGGTCCGTGGCTATTGGACTGTGTGGCATGAGCCTGATCCCTGATATGTTATTCTGATGTTACTCTGTCTCAACTGTCTCCTTGAGTAGTTAGTCGCTGGATGATCGGTGTCGTCACTCTGGTGCTGCTCTGGGCTTGTAGTTCAGGCAGTACCTAAGTGGATAGAGTGGGCATTGTAGGTATCTCTATCTCATTGTGCAATGCAGTCAGCAGCACAGAAATTGACCGGTAGATGGGTCATATTGCCGAGATGGCTGGCTGTAATTGTATATCCGGACGGAAATAAACCGAAAAAGTTGATAGAGAATGGTGCTGGATAACCAATCGACAGATGAAGACATGTAGACGAGCCATGGTTGCGATAGCTAATTGTAGTCGGCCACAAACTGGACGTGGTTGAGGCTGGCGTGGAACGCGGGCTTTATTTAGTATACACAACTCAGACATTGTGTCGTTAGCGGCAGGGTGATACTATTCGTAGACACGGAAACCGGTCACCTAAGGCGCGGTAAGCTCTGACTCAGCTACACATGACAGTGCAGCGACATAGTTGGCAGTAGATAGAGCGGACGAGACTATCTTTTTTGATTCTGTTGCTTTTGATGGAGTCTGACTGTGGTTAGAAGTAGATATTGTGTTGTAGTGGTTACTGTGCTGGTTAACCAATGCATTTCTCATCTGGTGGATGTGGTGGGCGCGGCCTGGCCTTGTCTGCCACCGGGCAGCCCGACGCAGCATCTGAGCACAACAATCGTCACTCTTCTCATGAATCAATACCTCTCTATCAGCAAGATGCAAAGAAGGGTCGATTGCGTCTGTAGGAATCTGCAGATTCTCATCCAAGTGAAGTTCCTAAACTCTGACTTGATCGGGCCATCGGTCGACTTCAAAATCCGTTGACCAGACCGGTGACGATAAATATGAAGTCATGCACCTGAAGCAAGGTCTTGTTCTTCTCAGCCATCCCACCGGAGTTATCACCGCACAGCTTTCCTCGGAGTGAGATCGACGGTCGGCTTTGCTTTGGATTTTTGGATGGGTGGCTGTGCACTCGTTGCTAGGAGTCAGTTGAGCGGGAAGGGTGAAACATTTTCTGTTTTCGATTAGGGTTTGGCGAAGATCAGAGACCAGGGCAACCGTGGAAAGGAAACCTTTGGGGGCGATGTTCCTGATTTTGAGATGAGATGAGATGGAAGGAATCCAATCAAAGTCTGGAAAAATAGACAGTCTGATTGCATCAGTATGTGTATGCCAACGTCAGTGTCAACGTCAACGCAACACAATGCAACGCAACGCAACGTGTTGGTTAGACCGTTAAATTAACCAAACGAACCTTGGACGACTGGCGACAAGCCAGGAGTAACCAGACTATTGAGTTTTTGTTCCATTTCCCCTGGCTGTCTATCTGCTCTCCAGATAATTTCCAAGCTTGACTATCATCAGCTGCCATGCTCCTGCATTAGTCTAGATAGTCTACTCCGGACTTGCACCTGCACCAGCAGCACCTGCAGCCAGTCTTCTGGTAAATCCTTGGTTTTCTAACCCGCCCTTGGCACTTGACAGGGTCCTGAGCGCAACTATACTCCATAGTCATGCGCCAATAGTGTAGAACTCTGCAGTAGTCTACACAAGCCGTTGTTATATCTCTAGTTAGTGACTTGGCACAGTAGACTAAACTACACCCGCATTCTGTATCATGATTTATGAGACCGAAGGTAAGGGTCCAATTCCTACCGGCCTCATTTCGGATCGTGGTGATTAGGAGCCGAGGCAAGGATCTGGCGGGGCAATGCGTGCTGGAGATTTCTCTGAAGCCAAAGGATACCTGCGTCGACTCCTGAATGCCCTTTCATCTGTTCAGAACCAGCCAAAATCAATCTTTCAAAATTTGGTAGAGGACAATTCTCCCGAGCAGAATCCCAATCCCACATGGTTGATAGGTACCTCAGTCTTGGCAAAGGAACCTATTCTATCGAAACAGTAACGTTTTCACGTTGTTCGTTAGGGTCCCCTTCGTACTATTAACGGGATGAATAGTTTAAGACTGCCGTTTTAACTTCTTATTGTTGATCAGCAAGTAAGCTCTTTCCTTTGGTCGCACGGTTGAGCTTGATGGTGGTTGTTTCATAGTGCCGATCTGTCGATACTATTCGCCCAGCCCATATTTCTTCAGATGTGTAGACTAGTCTAGTAGTATGTAGTGATGCGAGGCATGAGCTGGGAGCTTTGAACTTTTAGAGCTGCTTGGGCGCCGCAAGGGTTCGCAAGGCTTAACCAGATTAGAGCAGTTAAGCTCTATGTCTATCTTCTACAGTGTAGAGCAGCAGTAGAAGTCAGTTCCTATTAGGTCGCTGGTGTTGCAATGCATAGTATACAAATTAAAGTACTGCTGGATACTGCAGGGATACTGTCAGGGGTTCTTGGATAAGCATCCAAGACTAGATAGCCCCGTACACAGCAATCCATGGAACTCCGTAATCACAATTAGATTTAGGACACCGCACCCACAACATTCCATCGATCATCCGTGCTTCCACAACCAAATCCTGCAACGACGTGGCCTTCAACCTTGTCGGCATTGAAATGGTAGATAAACTGTAAAGAACATCGGAATCAACATTCACCCCGAGTGTCCGACACAAACCAAACCGCTGCTAAAGTTTAGTGCCTGAACCAAGGTTAGAGGTTGATGGATGGACCCAAGGTGCTAGTTATCCAGGCATCCATCATGTGTAGGTATCGAGGAATCATAACTACTCCGTAGAGGAAACGGAGTTCCTCCGAGGATTCGCCGATATATACTTTCTGGTTGGTTTCATGCGAGAAGAAGAAAAAGGTTCAGGGTCGTACCACACTATGACACCATGAATTGGAAACTAGGGTCTTCCAGAGCGCCTAGGTACAAGAGCCGATCGTCAACAGCATCACTCAGTAATAAAGCCGACGGGATTCGGTAGATTCGACTGCATTTTTTGGGGCGGCCGTATTCGTATTTTTTTCTTTTTAAGGTTCCTATAGCCTATGCTACCCTACAGAGTAGAGAGTACCTGCTATCTAGAAGGTCCCAGTGACCCAAGCTCGTCTGTCATGGAGTACATATAGATTGAGGATACGAGGATAACCAGCCTTATGAATAAGGTAAATAGCTATCCCGGATGCCAGGAATAGGATCCTGTAAGCTTCTACGGAGTAGTAGGAAATTCCGCTCTGCAATCCTTACCCGTCTCTCTGTCTCGGCCATGGCCCTGAGCCGAACATACACCGGCTCCGAGAATTCTCGAGGATTGTCAATTGTCGTGCACGGAGAAATAGGTACCCGCCTTCAAGCTTGAGAGCTTGAGAGACAAGAATATCCGGACTACGGAGTACTCCGTATCTCTCGGCAGGATAATTCTGAAAGGACCTCGCTGATCAATGATCATAGTACTTGGGGCCGAGGCCCCACTTCAGTCGCCGAAGTACTCATACGTAGTACTTCGGTGCGAAAGCGATAGTTAGCCCTAACAAATAACAATAATCTACCGAGTCCGTAAATAATTACCACGTTGACCTCGGTGAAGCCGTGAAGGAGCAGCGGTCAAGTCTCTTCCGTGCTTCAGCTAGCCTTTGAGATTGGACGGCGCCGATTCCTGGTACTAGTACTAGTACTATTCGTAATCGCTGATCAACCACTTTTTGCTCTAGCGATATTTGGTGAATGGTGCGGCGGTGGATGCTTCGAAATAGGTTCTAGCAATTTGCTGCTTGTGGTGTTAGACTGTCCAACTAACTTTCCCGCCCAGTTCAGTTATTTTCCGTGAGGGACAGAGGGAACACCCGGACAAGAAAGGACTCTGGGGCAGGAGACTGGCAAGGTCCGAAGGTTGGAAGATCATTGGCGATCTGCGGTTCCTAAAATCTTTCTTTTTTTTTTTTTTTTTTTTTTTCCGCCCCATTCCCTTCCCGTCTCTCCCAGTGCCAGGACTCCCAGGTCTATCACTCTAGCAAGGGTCGATCTCACGAGGGGGTTCATCTCATGGTGACTTCAACGTTTCGGAGTTCCCTGGAAGAGAACCAGATCTCCCGAAGTTCCGTGCACCATTTGCCAGTAGCCTACTTACCTCTTTGTTTACAGGTATATGGCCATACCAGTATTAATGCGTCAGCCACTGTATCAGCTTCTATCAAGGACTCCTGCCACTGCTGAGTAACGTCATACATGATCCATCCCTTCCTTGACTTTTGACTTGCATCCTTGAGCAGGAAAAGACAATTTTTCATGGTCGCGTTTTGCTGTCAAAGTGTCGACTTCGAGTATGCTTCCCGTACAAAGATAGACAGAGGCTTAGTCAATAAGGTAACAGTGCAGAGTTGCTCTCGACTGCTCCCATCGTGCCACTTCGGACGATTGTTAGCAAATCATTGTCGAAGCCATCCGTCTTTGAAAGGGGACAGGTTTGACCTGGGAGGCCCTGGTCGGTGGGGTGATCCACCCCAGCCCTTGCTGTCCAATAGGAAGCATTAATCCTTGCATAGTCGGAAAACCCATGCAAGGTTTGCTATGTTTAGCAGCTGGTTAGATCGCCCGCTACATCCGCGTTTTTCCCGATCTGGTACCTACACTTCCTCCATCTGGTCAAGTGAGGTCATTAGATGACTTAGCACAGAAGTATGACCATTATTGAGCTGAGCGGTGACCGCTATCTATGATGTAGAGAGGTACTGCAACAGCGGTAGATATTACAGTCCCTCAGAGTTGGTAGTAAGACTCATTCAGGTCTTTTTACCCGTGCCACCTTGCGGGCTATGATCGAATAGGCCCGTCCCTGTATGCAGTTGTCCCAAAATAACTGCTCGTACGCAGCTGGTTTCCACGCGTAGGATGCAGGGAGCCAACTGATGAGAAGGAACAAACTGACCACCTTTGCATGTGCAGAACAACCCAAATATGAGCCATGTGAGTTATCATCCTGACTGGTCCTGACAATGCACGCTCGTGTTCAAACCTCATGGCATGGGCCGACTTTGGCAAAAGATAAATAAACTTTGGCAGAAACCAGCACCTCAGTGGAAGATAT